GGGTTAGGCCATCACCTACGGCGTTGACTTGGCGAGTAATGGCTTTCAGACGAGAGTCGATAGACTTCCAGGCCATTTCGCATTTGACTTGCCATTGGGTTTGGACTACCTTGGAATGAGTTGATGTTGACGAGTGTGGGGCAGATGCGGAGGTAGGTGAAGAAGCCTCAGGGCGGCTTGCTGCGGACGGTGCATGACGGCAAGCTATCGATGATGTTTCGTCGGCTCTCGGATGGTTGAGACAAACCGGGCGAGCCGCTGACGAGGCCGCCGTAATCAGCTGGATTGGAACAAGGACAAGGACATCTGGATGGTTGGATAAAATCTGCGACTTGGTCTCTGAACTTTTTGGAGGCGCTGAACCTTGAACAGTAGTCATGTCCAACAGACACAAGATATGGACCGCAGGCTGCCGAGACCAGCAGCTATGGCTTGCTCACAACCCACTACGGAGTACTCCGTCCGTATACGGATACTCAGTAGACAACGGACAGGCAAGCAAAAGCCTGTGGACAAGCAGGGATGCGCATCCTTCTCCCTTCCGTTGATTATCGGCGATATACATAGTAAAGCAAGTACCGGAATGAGGACGACTATGCAGAGCAACAAGCACCCCCTGCTAGCGAGTCAAACCGTTCGAATTAATCAATAGAAAAAAAGGAGACGGGGCATCTGGGGCGCACAGATCGGCCAAACGAGGACAGGGGGCAATTTTGCCCACCGCTCCAGCATGCCAGCAAGCTTTGATAACAAAACCGGCAGTGTGAGCAACAGGTTTCCTGGTATTCGCAGGAATCAGTGGTGTGTGGAGTTGTTACAAAGGCCTGGATTCTAGACTCCCTCTCTCCCTCCTGCGTGGCGCCGGTCCCTCGCTCGTTTCCCACGGATATGCTTTCTGCCTGTCCGATTGGGTAAAGTCTCCGACGCCTCTTCATGTTGGTACCTAGGTAGTAGTGGATACCCGCCATTCCAGCGACGGGGTTAGGTACAACCCAAACAAAATGCATGCACGGTTGGAAGACAAAGAAAGAGAAAAGAAAAGATGGCCAAGAAAGAAAAAGAAAAAAAAGACAAAAGGAGAACGTTCCATAGGCGCTGTGCGAGCATGACTTGGGAAGGGATATTCGACAACGTTCGTCCTGTTCCAACAGGTTGGCCACCATCATCGCAATTTGGTAGACACGTCTTGGCAAAGCGCGTCACCGAATGCCAAGCGGTCGTCTCTTAATCTCGATGGTCAACTGTCTATGATGCGATGGGATTATGTATGTGGGTTGTTCCCTCGCCAAGTCCCTCGCTGTCTGGTTACTGCATCCCTTCACCTCTCCCTTCCGCGTTTCGTCGTCGGATACGGCATCGAACCGAAAGGAGGGCCCATGGCACAAGGTGCGTAGCTTTGACCGACTGCTCACCCACTTCCCGCCGAGAGCACGACCCGCTGGGGGTGTGCAGGCTTGCTTGCTTACCCACCGTGTTGCCCGGCTCGGCGGGGGTGCTCTGATGGACAAGAGCCGCAAAATGGCAGCAGGTGCATGATGGTGTAGGTAGATGGACGCGACAAGGCAGACCTGTAGCCGTCATTGATGAGAGGTACAGATGCAGTAAGCTGCGTTTCCTTGCTCGGATATGAGGGGTAGGCAGTCAGTCCATCATGAGGGCTGCGAAATGTGATCGACCGGCGTCGTCATGATGCATGAATGTTGGCTGGAACTCTGTCTATACTCGGTGTTCCGTGCGCGTCCTTCGAGATGGTGTCCTACTTCGCAGGCGACCTTGCAATAAGCAGATGCAACCCTGCAACTTCCGAAAGCTCGTGGAAAATGGCACGCAAACGAGGTGACCGAGCGAGCATTACGTCGCGTAGACCGACCCGGGCCCTTGTTAATTGGTAGCTGAGATGAGGTGTGTAAAGACAGGCCATGCAGGTCCGAAAGCAATTCAGATAGCCCCATCAGTGGCCGCTGGTTGGCGTCAAGATTATCTTGGCGTTTGGGTAGCTATCTCTCGCGGTATTGCCCCGCCGCTGGAACTTTGGCGTGTTCAGACGGGATGAGATTTGCAAATATTGCCTGTATCAAACCCAAACCGTTGCGACCTGCCAGAATCGGGCAAGCCACCATGCGCATCGTTATTGGCGCGTCGGTCTTCCAATGCTTGATTACGGATACAAGTCGTACAGAGCGCTTCGCCCGAGGCACACCGTCAGGTGCTGTTCGTGTAAGAATAAGCCAGGCGCAGGAAGAGGTGGTGTGCGTGGCAGCATCTCATCACCGAAATATGGCTTTCGCGAGGTGCGACGGTCTGAAGCCAGCCGACTGGGCATGTCCTTGCGGTAAGGTCGGCCCTTGATCCCCGGCTCCCCGGACCAGACAGACCTGACAGCCGGCAAGGCACAACAACCCAAGACTGCAGATGCGACACGAGAGAAGTGTCTGAAGGAAAGAGAAAGCGCGTGAACGCCTGCTTCAAGGTTGCATGGAACAACCTTGGAACCGACGACCGTCGGAAAGGCCGAGCTGGCGGGCGCGTGACAGGCAGATGGAAGGGAAGAGATGGCTTACACAGCGATATAGGCACAGAGCAGCTGATTATTGGGATTTTCCAAGATTTCTTACTGCGAAACGATGTTCTGGCTGTCCATCGTGAGCCCGTCGCCTCATCAATGTAACCAGCCATCGGGCATCTAGCCTGATCGACCGCATCCTACCGCACTGAAGGGCTAGGCGTTTCGGACTCTAAGGTTCCCATGATGCTGTGGTAGGTAGGTATGCTCAGATTTAACCGAGTCTTCATATACCGCCAGGCGTGGATGGACTCGCCCTTGGGGGAGGGACAAAAAGAGGCACCATCCGATCGTGAGCGCTAGCCTTAGCCCATAGGCTATTATTGCTGTATCAGCTTACTCATCCGTGAGGTGACTAGGTGGTAGTAGAGTAGTTAACAGCCAAGACGTGCCCAGGCTGACCATATTTTAGATCTTTCCATGAAAGAATGACTGAATGAACGAGAGAAAGAAAGAGAGAAACTAGGTATCAGCTAGGTTTCTCCAAGTGCAGACAAGGTAAGCAGGCCGGCAGCAATTGGGCGTTGGGAGTCAGCCTGCCGCTCAGCCTCGAGGAATAAGGGTCGTTGGTGAGGCGTGCAGTACAGTGAGGCGTACAAAGGTGCACCCGGCAACAAAGAAACATGAGAAACAAGCTTGTAAGCAGCGGCGGAATGATAAGCGAGAGGAAACAGAGAAACGTGCATGTCACGTTGAGGTAGCTCTGGCGGTGGGCTTGGCTGGAGAATATCGGCCGGATTTGATATGAAGGGCGTGAGACGTGGGTAATGGCACGCAGTCTTCGCCGCATTGCGTTCTTCGTCTTGAATCATGTCCTGCTGTTCCAAGGCCAGAACCCTGGATCAACAGGTTCACCTGGCTACAAACCATAACGTACACTGTAGGTACCTAGGTAGGGAGCCTGGGCAGCAGAAGAGATAGGCCGACCATCTGGGTGTTCAAATACGCGTGTGCGACGGCATGCAATGCAATGTTAGCAGCGGCAGCCGCAGCGGGTACGGATGCAGAAATGACCCCCCCCTCAGAGGCAGTCCTTTTGGCTCGGTCGTTCATGCGTTGGTCGGAAAGGTACGCACCGACCCCGCCGAGTAAAGGCAGGTAGTAGTTTACCTACTATGTATATAGGAGGAATTCAATTGATCCATAGTTTGTTAATGAAGAGAGGAGACAAAAGAAGGGGAAGAAGATGAAGCAGGATAAGAAAAGGGAAGCGAAAAACGTACATGTACGCCTTGGCAACGAACGTACGGATACTGCCTTGTTAGATGGAAAGGCTCCACACAGGGCCACAGGAGTGGATCTTCCAGACTACCCACCCTCGCAAAGTAGAGGCATGTACTCGACATGGCCAGAGAGGCTCGGGGGATACTTGGATCTACCCTGCCAAGGACGAGTTTCTTTCTTCTACACTTACCTAAGCAGCTACACTACTACACTAGAAACCCTTCCAGCAGGGACATGACGCTAAACCATAGACACATAGAGTAGTAGCGCCCCTACTACGTAGTGCGAAGCACGCCGGCCGACCCCTGCTTGGGACCTTTCTCTGGCCAATCAGGTGTACTTCTTTGCACTGCCTCATTCTTGGCACCACATGTGCAAGATCCAAACCATCACTCCTATGGCAGCACATACAACTATGCATACAACCAAATCAGTCCATCGTTATGACTACAACCGCCCTTCTTTCTGAAAGACGGGGGACCTGACAAGGGGGCAAATGCTCCTCTCATCCTGTCTCTCTCTTCCCGTGTCTTGTCTCTCTGCCAATTGCTTGTCTCGAGCTCTTCCTTCTCTTGCCAGCCTTGGCTTTTTTTTTTTTCTTTTTCTTCGGTACTGGAGTCGCCTGGAAATTGAAACGAACCTCACGTCCCATCCCTCCAGCCAACGTGCCTTCCCACCTACCTTCCTACCTTTCTTCCTTTCTCCGCTCGCGCTGTGCTTTGTTTGCTTTGCTTTGCTTCGCTTCGCCTGCCGCCATGTTGGGACAAGGACATTGCGCCTGAGAGGAGACTATCTGCGTTCAAACGGCCAGCCTATCTCAATATTCTCTACTCCCCACCGATACCAGTCGATACTCTCTACCCGCCGCCGACGACGACGACAACGACTTGGACCTCGTCTCACCACCACACGCGCCGGTGCCCTCTTCCTAATACAACCGCCATACCGCCCCTTCTTATGCTTAACAACACGAGACGCCTACGTCGTTTTCGCTAATTACATCAAGGACGCGGAATTGTTACCCATCACGGAATATAGCTAGCTGGCTCACTCAACTTTGATCACTCTTTTTGCCTCCCGGCTGCCTCTTCCATTGTACCGACACAGCCTCACGTTACCTACTCTATTCACCACACTGGCAGCCTCTGTGAACCTCGCTCCACCATCAGACGGCGCCGCACCAACCCGGCTGTGTTGCGGTTGATCCGGAGCCATGGATCCCAATTCCGCCTCTCGGGATGACCCTGCGCCGCCACGGAGGAATCGAGCGTACGTTTGCGCGTCATGGCCTTTGTCGCCTCACCACCCACTCACCAACCAAGTATAGAACTGACATTCCCCTTTCCAGTCCGACAATCACCATAGATCCCTCTGCCACCGGCGTTGATAACACGGATGCCGCACCAGCCATGGCACAGGATCCCCCGAATGAAGCGTCCGTCTCACCCATCCTCACCCAGGATGAAGGAGCCAGCCCGACGATCGTACCCGAAGGCGCTGCCGCCCCGTGGTCGCGGCCCCAGGAGAAGCCCCCAAAGCCGAAGCTTCGCGCCGACACGTCCTTTGAGATCAAGGACAGCAGCAGACCCCAGAGCCCGCACAACGTATCAAGTCCAGTTGCGACCTTGAGAGGAAATGACCGCGCTTTCCTTGCCGTGCCCAGCAACTTGCGCTCCCGACAGAACTCGATCGACTCCGACGACATGTCCTCCCAGGGCGAGACTATCGCCGTCTTGAGCCAGTCGACTGAGAAGACCATGAAGCCCAGTCCCATGTCCAACGACAGGATTATGAACGACGAGACCGCTCTGCAACCCGACAAGGGTAGCGAGGGCGACTTTGAGGTGGAAAACAACCCATTCGCCTTCACCCCCGGCCAGCTCAACAAGATGTTCAACCCAAAAAGTCTTGCTGCGTACTATGCGCTTGGAGGCTTGACTGGTATCGAAAAGGGTCTCCGGACTGATCGCAAGGCCGGTTTGAGCTTGGACGAGGTGCATCTTGACGGACAAGTCTCGTTCAGCGAGGCCAAGAGCCACACCCGCTCTTCTGGTGCTCTCAAAGAGAGCCAAATACCGGCGACGCCCCCGAGGCAGAACACTGATCATAAGAGCAAGCACGGCGATGGTGGCTTCTCTGACAGGAAGCGCGTTTTTCGAGATAACCGGATCCCCGAGAAGAAGGGCAAGACTCTCCTGGAACTCATGTGGATCACCTACCAAGATAAGGTCCTCATGCTCTTGACCGCTGCTGCAGTTGTTTCGTTGGCCATCGGCATCTACCAAACAGTGGGCTTGCCGCACGCACCCGACGAGCCAAGGGTTGAGTGGGTTGAGGGTGTTGCTATCGTTGTCGCCATCGCCATCGTCGTCATCGTGGGCTCCCTCAACGACTACAGCAAGGAAAGGCAATTTGCCAAACTGAACAAGAGGAAGAAGGACCGTAATGTCAAGGTTGTACGCTCGGGCAAGACCATTGAACTTTCTGTCCATGATCTCTTGGCTGGCGATGTCATTCATCTCGAACCGGGTGATCTCGTCCCCGTCGACGGAATTCTCATCGAGGGCTTCAACGTCAAGTGTGACGAGTCTCAGGCTACCGGGGAGTCGGATATCATCAAGAAGCGGAACGGCGAGGAGGTTTTCAACGCCATCCAGAACGGTGACGATCCTAAAAAGCTCGACCCCTTCATCCAGTCCGGTGCTAGAATCATGGAGGGCGTCGGCACTTTCATGGTCACCTCAACCGGTATTCACTCATCTTTCGGAAAGACTCTTATGGCTCTGGATGAGGATCCCGAGGTTACACCGCTGCAGTCGAAGCTCAACACCATTGCCGAATACATCGCCAAACTCGGAGGTGCTGCAGGTCTCTTGCTCTTTGTCGTCTTGTTCATCGAATTCCTGGTCAAGCTTCCGAAGCAGCCGGCCTCCGTCACTCCGGCCCAGAAGGGGCAGGACTTTATCAACATCGTTATCACCGTTGTCACCATTATTGTCGTGGCAGTGCCGGAAGGCCTTCCTCTCGCTGTCACACTGGCCCTGTCCTTCGCCACGAGACGCATGCTGAGGGACCAAAACCTCGTCAGACACCTGAAGGCTTGCGAGGTCATGGGCAACGCCAACACCATTTGCTCGGACAAGACGGGAACCCTGACGCAAAACAAGATGCAGGTCGTTGCCGGCACAATCGGCACCACTCATCGTTTTGGTGGGCAGCGACCTTCCAGCTCTGACGGCGATGCCAACGCCGCGCTGGACGGCGCTGCTGACATCTCAATCGCCGAATTCGCCAAGATGCTCAGCGCGCCGGTCAAGGAGATTCTCGTCAAGTCCATCTCGCTCAACTCGACGGCGTTCGAGGGTGAGGTCGATGGTGAGAAGACATACGTTGGATCGAAGACCGAGACGGCCCTGCTCCTGTTGGCTCGTGACTACCTCGGCATGCACCCCGTCGCCGAGGAACGCGAGAACGCCAAGATCCTCCAACTTATCCCTTTCGATTCTGGCCGCAAATGTATGGGCATCGTCGTTCAACTTCCGGATGGCCGCGCAAGAGTCTATGTCAAGGGTGCTTCCGAGATTGTTCTCGGAAAGTGCACCGAGATCTTCCGGGACCCGTCCCAGGACGCTACGCTCACGGAAATGACCGAGGCCAACTTCCAGACGATAAATACTCTCATCAACACGTACGCTTCTCGGTCGCTCCGAACCATCGGCCTTGCCTACAGGGACTTCGAGCAGTGGCCCCCTCGCAACGCCCGCCGCGTTGATGGAGGCGAGAACGTTGATTTCGATTTTATGTTCCGGACTATGGTCTTTGTCGGCATGGTCGGTATCCAGGACCCCTTGCGCGAGGGAGTTCCCGAGGCCGTCAGGCTTTGCCAGAAGGCGGGTGTCATGGTTCGCATGGTTACCGGAGACAACAAACTCACAGCCGAGGCCATCGCTAAGGAATGCGGTATCCTGCAGCCCAACGGTCTCGTCATGGAAGGCCCCGAATTCCGTAACTTGACCAAGTCGGAGCAAGAAGCCATCATCCCACGGCTTTGCGTTCTTGCTCGCTCTAGCCCCGAGGACAAGCGTATTTTGGTGAAGCGCCTCAAGGCCCTAGGTGACATTGTTGCTGTAACCGGAGACGGAACCAATGATGCTCCCGCGCTCAAGACGGCCGACGTCGGCTTCTCCATGGGTATTGCTGGCACCGAGGTTGCCAAGGAAGCATCTTCTATCATTCTCATGGACGACAACTTCAACTCCATTGTCAAAGCCTTGAAGTGGGGTCGTGCCGTCAACGATGCCGTCAAACGTTTTCTCCAGTTCCAGCTCACCGTCAACATCACTGCTGTCATTCTCACCTTCGTTACTGCGGTCAGCAGCACTTCAGTGCTGACTGCGGTGCAACTGCTCTGGGTCAATTTGATCATGGACACTCTGGCTGCCCTCGCCCTCGCCACCGACCCCCCTCAAGACAGTGTCCTCGACAGGAAGCCCGAGAGGCGTGACGCGTCAATCATCACTACTACCATGTGGAAGATGATTCTCGGGCAGGCGGTTTACCAACTTGCGATTACCTTCATGCTTTTTTACGGAAAGGATGCGATTGTCCCTGGCCCCCAGCATGTCCCTGATGACCAGATCGCCACGTTGGTCTTTAACACCTTCGTATGGATGCAGATCTTTAACCAGTGGAAGTAAGTACATCATCCCCAACATGCTGGTTTTCTATGAAACTAACCAATCGCAGCAACCGTCGCTTGGACAACAACTTCAATATTTTCGAAGGACTAACAAAGAACTATTTCTTCATTGGAATTAGTGCCATCATGATCGGAGGACAGGTTCTCATTGTCTTCGTTGGCGGTGCGGCCTTCCAGATCGCTTCCGAGGGCCAGACCGGCACGCAATGGGCCCTAGCCATCATTCTGGGACTCATCTCAATTCCGTTTGGTGTCATCATTCGACTCGTTCCCGACACTCTCATCGAGCGCCTTGTTCCCGACTACCTCAAGCGCCGTGCCAAGAACAGTGTCCCTGGTCTTACTGTGTCGGACGAGGAGCAATTCGAAATGTACCCGGCGCCACTTTCGGATGTCCGCAATGAGCTGGCGTTCATTAAGAGGATGAAGGGAGGACGCTTGAACAACCTCAAGTTTGCGGTACAACACCCCCGCGAAACATTCTCACGCTCGCGCAGCCCGTCACACTCGCGCAGCAACTCCATCAAGACGCCAACGACGCCTACACGAGAGGACAGTTTCGGCTCAATGGCTGCCGCGACACCCAACTCTCGCAAGCGCTCCTACAGCTCGCGCAGTCGGTCCAACTCGGCCCTCGGCGCCCCGACTGTCATGGCAGGTATTGTGGCTGCCGGTATCGCAGCCAACTGGTCACCGGCGGACCGCAGACGTCGTGACAGCGACGACTTTGACGGCAACGCCAGGAGAGAAGTCTCCCGAGAGAATTCGATTCGCGAAGAACCTCGTGAGTCGATTGCGGACGAAAAAGGAGGGGACGGAAAAGTGGCGCGCGAATGAGGAGTACATTAATCGTCGCCTGGTACTGGCGGCACCGTTTATATGGTCGAGCGGCGTTACGTGAGCGTAAAACAAGAATTCCCAACAAATAACACGGGATATATATATATGTACGAGTATAAGTTTCTCGGTGCGGTCATGCCCATCCCGCACGCCCACCACGCGTTCAGGAGGTTTACGCAACCTCCTTTTTTCTTTCTTTCTTTTCTTCTCCCTTTTAGCATAGAAACCGTGATGATTGACTAGACCGGTGAACGATAAATTCGTTCGAGAGAATTCTTAGTACAGAAAAAGAACAAAGTTTTATTAAATCAAAAACCACTCGCTCGCGTGACTTGAGATATGGCTGTTGAGTTGCCAGAGGCTAAACAGCGCCAGTATGTAACACTTCGAAGGCCGCAACTACGTCTCTTTGGCGTTTGACGTTTGCGCTCGGAGCCCGTATCTGAAATTCTTAACATTACATCTTGGGTCTCGCTGCATCGGCATGCGATAAGAGGGAGACGGGACTGTAGCATTGGTGGAACAGTTTCCATTCGTCGGTGCGGCAGTTGGAAACATTGTCTACTCGGAAACCATGAAATAGTTGATTCTTGGTGCGGCTGGGCTTGGATATGCATGTGAGGCCCCGTTTGGTGCTGGATTGACAACGAGGGGTGTTGGCCTCAGTGTGTCTTCTTGGGCAGTGGAGGGAGGTTGTTCACGTCGACGCCGACTGATCCCCATTGTTTTTTCTTTTCTCTTTCATGTTATCATGTTTTCTTCCATCTTACTTTCTTACTTGGGCTGCCTGGAGCAGAGTAGTGAAATGACATGATGCAACGTCTCGAGCCCCAAGAAGCATAAGGAAGCCGACTCGCTTGGCGGGACAGAGATGGAAAATAAGGGCGCGGACAAGGACAGTTAAGTCTAGCGAGGTTTTGACGTATCACGAGAACAGCGACAAAATCAGAACTATGGCCTCCTCGGCCAGGCACCTGACAGCCGTCTGATGCCCGACGGGAGGGAGCGAAGGATCTCCTGCGACTTTGGCGGGGCTCGTGGCGGCGTCGCTGACTTGCCGACGAAGGATGCCCATCGCATAGCGCGGTTGCCTTTTCCCGCCGCCGCCGCCATACCTAAACAAGTCTCGGTCCGCAGCACTGACGCTGGAGTAGTTGGTTTCTCAGACCCCTCTACTCTGTTCTCGCGCGTGTCTGCGGCAGTGTTCTGTAGCCTCCCAGAGGCAGCAAGCAGGTGTGCATCACAGCCCTTCAGCGGCTGTTTCTTTGTTTATCCTAGCTATTAGTAGAGTGAAGTCCCCTTTCCACTAGGAAGAGTGAACACAAGCTTACTCTTTCTCTCATTTCTTCTCGAGTACGGATATCCCCCTCCCCCAAGACTGATGAAACTGCGCCTCTATCGAAGATGGATTCATCAGCATCTCAAAATTGGGGACACTTGTTAAACTTTAGGCTGAAGCATATCGGTTGAGGCAAGACGGCGTAAGAGCCTAGGATTGAGTCAATGGCAGTTGGGTTATCCACCCGTCCGCCGAATAGACAAGAAACCTTCCTCTCACCGAGCCACAGAGTATACGTCCTTCCTCGGCCTGCATTATCAACTACAAAAAGCCTCATTGGGCAGGAAGTTGGCCACATCAACTACAGTTGCCAGACAAACCTCGGAGCACCCATCTGCATGTAAAGTATCGCATGTTTGGTAGAAGAGGCACTGGTGCCTTGCCTCACTGACGACAAAGAGGGGCTGGCGCAGAGGTGACTCAACCCCCCACCCTCCGACGGCAAACGCCTCGTTGTCTCCTCGTCGCCCGCCCTCCGTCTTACGTGCACCGCACTGCATATCAGTCAACCAGTCATGCTTCGCACATAGTAATAGTTGGGTGATTTGATCTCGTGATCATTGGAGTTCGCTGTCTAAACTGCCTGTCTTTCCGTCCCGTGTCTAAACCCGCCTGTATGGATGACGAACTAAAGGAAGCTGCCCAAGAAAAAAAAAACCGATGGAAAACAGGAAACCTGTGTCGGGGTTCTAGGTATTCTGACACACAAACACACAAACATAAAAGAGAGGGCCTATTGAGAGTAAAGCATAGGAAATGAGCCAGACTCCCCGAGGAAAGACAAAATGAGTTGATGGTAAAAAAGAAAAAGAAAAAGAAAAGACAAAGGAAACAAAGTAGGGGGGGGGGGGGGGGGTAAGTAATCCGTTGATGCCAATGTCCCCCGACTTTTTTCCCTTTCTTTTTCTTGCGTTTCCCAGATCTCTACGCACCATCTGCGCAAACCGTCGACCCGCGTGCCTTTGACGATGAACTACAAAAGACAAAAGGAAAAGGGAAAGGTCGAGTGCATAAAGCATTGTCCTGGCAATCCGTAGTGTCGCCAGAACACGCGCAACTCGGTAGTCTTGGTATCTCGTTTTACAAGTCTTTTAAGACAACTCTTGTCATGGTAGGAGGCAAGAACAAGCAAGCCAAAGGGCGGTGGGACGAAAACACACTACTCGATAGGGATTGGTAGGGCGAATCAGGCTGGTTGTATTTTGTCCCAGACCGCAACATCCATCGACCGCATCGGGGAGTTGTCGAGGTGGGGAACACGAGGTGCGCCCAAGATTCTTCCGCCAGGAGTCACTGCTTGGCCCTCCTTGTTGACATGCGGCGAGGAAAATAGCCAAAAAGGTGCGACATGCGTGCGACGGCCCACAACAACAGGATAAGAGGCAGGGCTGTGATGCGTTGTGGGTTGAAGCTTTCGTCGCAGCTACCGGCAAGTGGCTTGCCGTTCCGGTCTTAGGTCTGGGGCTTGTTGGGGCTTCTCGTCGAATCAAGGTCCTGGTATGGCGGTGGTATGGCCGAGTTGGCTAACCCGTCAAATGAGGACCGCCGCCTGAAGCGCGCGCTCTCAGATCAATGACTGAGTAAGAAGGGTATCTGTAACGTCGAGACAGCGAAGGAAGAAAAACAAGAAGCAACACAAAGAGGGACAAATCGAGGTTGCCGTCGTTGGAAAAGGTCGCCGTCTCAGACACGGAGTTGCGTGTTCAACTGGACTTCCTTGGCTTTCTGGGCTCGTTCTTGGGCTTCACGGTGCCGGGCTCAATCTTGATGCCTCGCTGCTTCTGCTTCTGCTTCTGCTGCCCAGACTCTTGCGTTTCCTGGGCCTGGGGTTGAGGATTGACAGCCTCAAAAACGTGTCTGCTGACACAACCGCCATCGGGCTTGACGCTGACGACCTGGTCCTCGGGGACCATCTCGTGTTTTAGCGGCCAGCCAGCGCGTCGGCACAGCTCCGAGACGACGACGTCGCAGTCGCCGAGGAGATCGATGTCGAAGTTGATGTGGTTGAGGGCCTGTCGCGAGATGTAGATCTGAGGGATGTTGGCCGGCAGCCAGCTCACTATTTCCGACACCGGCGTCACCTTCAGACTCGTGCCAATGACGATGACAAGGTCTGCCTTGTCGCGGTCGTACTCGGTCAGGCGCCTGCTGAACTCATCAGGCAACGCCTCGCCGAAGAAGGTGATGTCTGGTTTCATGACGCCTATGCTGGGCATGTCGTACTCCCCGTCCGACACCGAGTCATCGTCGGAGCTGAATCTGCGGCGCTTGCGCTCCGTGCCCGCCGACCTCTTACGCTTCGTGCTGCCGTTGGGGCGGAGGTTCTGGACGCAGCGAGGACAACGCGGGATCCTGCCCGCCTTGATGTCGGGAAAGATGTCATCGCCGACGCACTTGAAGCCGCACTGGACGCACGTGGCGGTTGCGAAGGAGCCGTGGCACTGGATGAGCTTGTCGGCAGAGATGCCGGCCTTGGCTTCGAGGTTGTCAATGTTCTGCGTGTAGTTTGTGAGCAGCTTGCCCTGCTTCTCAAGCATTGAGATGAAGGCATGAGTCGGCGTGAAGCGATTGGTGGAGGGCAGGATGTCCTTAGCGACGGTGTAGAATATGGTGGGGTCTTGCTTAAAGACGGAAATGTCAAACACCTCTTGGGGGTCATTTAGTCCCAGGTGCTCAAGCTGCGAGTAGAGACCGCCCTTTGAGCGGAAGTCTGGGATGCCGAGCGAGGTCGAGATGCCGGCACCGGTGAGGACGATGATGTTCTTACTCCGCTGAAGCAACTCCACGGCGTCGTCGACCGTGTTGTAACGGGTCAGCTTGGCGCGCTTGGACAGCTCCCTGCTGATGGCCAGCGACAAGAGGCTAAAGTAGGCCTCGTCTTCGGCGCCCTCCAGGAAGGCGGGCGGCTTGAGGCCAAAGGCCGACAGCAACTTCTTGGCCGTGTAGCGGCCGGCGTCGACTGTTCTTCTACAGAATTCTGCGGGACCAAGGGCTCTGAGTTGGTGGCGCAGACCCATGGCTTCGTCAGGCGTGCAGCTGTCAGGATCTTTTTTTGGGGAGGGGGTTGACCAGTTAGCATGCCAACACAGAAGACAATGATGAGAAGAACACGTAATCCAAGGCCAAAAGTAGCAGCGGATTGTCATGCTTGCCTGGGGAATGGGGGCTTTGGATAAGGACTGAAGTGAGCGACTGTGGCTTACCATCCAAAGAGAGTTTCGCATCGCCCAGCTCAGCGATGGCATCTTCCAGCAGGGAGTCGGTCTCCCATGCCGACTCCTTGGCGTCTTTGACGCGTTCCTCGAGTTCCTGAAGGCCGACGGCGTGCTTGATTTCCTCGAGGGTTGGACTTTCGGGGGCCTGAAGGTTGTCGATCTTGTACGCGGCGACGGCCTTGGGATTGTTTTTGCCGCGCTTCTTGACCGTGACGGTCTTTGTCGTCGCCCGTTGAGTCTTCATCTTGTTTTCCCTGCGTGTCGGGGCTACTTGACTCGGGGTTAGGTTTGGGATGATGGAGAAGGAATAGTTGATGAAACTCGTGAAGAGAGTAAGTAGATCAGGGATGGTACGAGATGGGTGTTCTGAGTTGATAGGGGCTGAGCTGAGCAAAAGAGTCGCTAACTAGCCGGGGGTGTACGTGTCTGGTTGAAAGGGGTGCGTGACGCCGACCAGCCGATGGGTTGGTGTATTTGTGAGACAGCGCAAAAAGATGGACTGGACAAAGGCTGGGCTGGTATGGGCTTGGTGAAGGGGAAATGAAGAGCGACCAGAGTTGGGCGGTCAGATCGTGTAAAGTGGGAAGTTGCAATTGGACCTAATTTTCTCTCTTACTCTCTCTTTCCGGATTCCCTCGCACAAGAAGAGGTTGAAGGATAGCGAGAGGGGCAAATAGACTGGAGTTGGCAATGGTTTTTGAAAAAGGCAAAAGAATTGATGTGTTGCGGTGTGGTGCGTTAGTTTTGACAGGAGGAGGAATTTAACAAGTTGCATACGGTCGGGCCCTCAAGGGTGCGCGTGCTTGTGTGTATTTGAGTGTGAGAGTGAGGGTTAGAGTGAGAGAAAAGGAGGGAAAAAAGAGGATGCCTTGGGTGCGAATGAGGTTGGATGTGGCCGAGTTCCGCCTTTCCGCTCGAAACTCGTCGGTTATCTATCTCCCTGGGGGTGGCGTGACGGCGAAGACACTGTGCTGCGGACTTGATTCTTCTTTCTTTCTTTCTGTCTAGCAAAAGACAAGGCCAGAGACGGAGTATACGACTTAATCTGCGGCTCGTGATGATCAGATGCAGTGATGATTAAGTGCTGGTCAAGGCTGGTTGTGTAAGGCGACGAGTTGCGTCTGATCCCGGGACGAAAAGAGAAGAAACAAGAGTTGCAGGGTTCGGAGGGGGGGGGCGAGGCAGGAAATAAAAATAAACACCGACCGGCCGAAACGGAACGGATGGCACGGTTTGGAATTGATGGACGGGTTCTGGTTGAAGGTTATATTCCCAGATGGGAAAAAGGCGGGTGAACGGGTGGAATAAAATAAAAATAAAAATAAAGTGGAAGAGGGAGGCAAGTAGTAAAGACAAGATACAGGTTGTCGTCGTAGTTGGGTAAATGTGAAGTCAGAGAAGGAGAAGGAAGAAAAAGAAGATAGGAGACACAAGTAAGCAGGCGAAATCTAAGGTAAGGGGACAGGAAAGGCTAGCAGCAATCGCGCGGTCTAGTTGGTCTCCAGAGAACGGACGCGAGTTCTGGAGGGGGAGAGAAAGGGAACTCGTACGAAGGTGGACGAAAGTCTAGTAAGCAGATCTGGATTAGGTGGGCCAAGAGGACAAATGTCAATCGAGCAGATTGAACGAAGGATGGATGGAATGATGATGATGAATCTGTCGGATGGATGGACGGGTGGATGGATGGATGGGGAAAATGGGCCACGCTAGGTTCGTCAAGGTGTGATTACACGGAAACTAAGGAAACCAGGACGAGACATGCAAAGACAAAATATGGTTAGATAGACAGGCAGAAAGGGTGCACCCGTATAATCAACGCGACTGTCAGTACAGACAGCCCAGGTCCTTTTCCTGCGCGACGAAACCAAGCCAGGTAAAAAAGCACGTCAGGCAGGGCAATGGAAAGGGAAAATAAAAATAAAAAAAATTGTTGCCCAGGGTGGCTCCGCTGCGTCTTAGTCGTTTAGTAACACAACACTCAGCTAAGGCAGAGAGAGGCAGAGCAAGATGCGAATGCAAATGTAAACCCAACAAGGCCACCACCACATGTGTGTATGTGTGCATTTGCTTTCCGGGGAACTGTATAGAATTGCGTTCTTGCCATCCTAGTCCAACTAGCATCGCTGTAAGCAAACTGCTCTTTCTGCTTACAATCCAGGCGGCATTGATGGGACGGTGGAACTGCGTCAATGATTTTGAGGGCAACCGTGTCAAAACTTGGACAATGTTGGCGTGCTACTGCTACTAATGACTTAACTACCTGACTAGACACTGAGTTGGGAACCAGACCGGAACCGCTCAAACATTTACTGGTACCCCGTACATGAGGCCGTGTTTACCTTTGTACCAGCACCAGCAAGCTCATATCCGAGTGAGTAAGTAATGGTGGTGTGTGCGGCTCGCGAACGTGTACAACCCCGTCCAACCAGAAACCCAGCGGGCCAAACGCAATCCCTAATTCCCTCCACTTGTCATCCTCCGTCGTGTGCTATCGCCCGTCCTATCACATCGGTCTCGTCTTCCTACCTCAGAGAGTTTCGGAACCTGGCTCCAAGTGAAACTCGCCCATCCTCTCTGATGTCTCCCTGTTTGTCCTCTACGGGTGGACGCTTCTCAACTTAACGCCTGCCGCTATTGGCATTGTGCTGCACAAGTGTTCCGTTCACTGTCTTGTCGAGCCAAGTTTGGCTAATGCCCAACCGGGTCCAAGACACACACACACACACACACATACATACATACATACATACATACATACATACATACATACATACATACATACATACATACATACATACGTAGGTAGTATGTATACATACATTTGATGGAGGCCAACCCCCCCCCCCCCCCCCAGTCAATCAATCTGTCATGCCCACCACACCACACCACCGCATTGCATCGCGCGCGCTATCCCGCCGCCAGCCACATCCTCAGTTAAATCAGTCTAATCGGCGACGCTTGGTCATCCATCGAGTTGTCTGTTTCCATCGTCTCTCAGCCCTTTTGACAATCCCTCGTTATGCCCATCAACTGCGGAAGACGTTTCTGGTGCCTCGAGGCATTTTGACGAGTTTCTTTTGAGTAGCTTGGCTCCCACGGCAGTGTCACTACTCTCTAACTGTACTGGGGGTTTTGGGCTTGGCCTGTCTGATCCCAGCCAGTGACGTTCCCGGGATGTAGGTATTCAACCCCTTGGCGCTAGAAAATGTACTTTACTCAACTGTACCTAACCTGAACGGTTCCCTTATCTAATACGGAGTACCACCTCCCTGGTTGTTTGTCCTCGAGCTGCCTCCCATCACAGGCTGGCTCGCGGCAGATGTCCATCAAGTCAGAATTTGGGTTGCTTCCCACTCTTTCGTCTCATCTTTGTGGGAGTGAGAGTCCATCTTTCATTGCCGTCGGGTTGACAACGTCTTGAGCCGACTCGCATCTCTATCGGTCATTCCAACCCAACACACAAACGCCGCATCGGCCCCTCCCAACATGCACCGTCATTCTCAAATCCAACAGGACATGAATATAAACCCGTCTGCCGCTCCCGTAGGATTGTCCCCTCTCGCCCTCTATCTGTACACTCAGTATTAGCCCGCAAATACCCACATGTCCCCGGACAGCCCAACTCTGTTCTTTTTCCTGCATGTGACCGGCCACGCACCCCGGCCCTGGCTGGTTGCGTTATCTAGAACAAACAAATCAAGCGTAGAGCAAAGCTAGCCAACTCTCAATCACGCTTTGGCGCCTCTCTTCACTCTCGCTCACTTCCACGGGAGAGACACCGATCATTTCTCAGTCCGGTTGAGAAATGGTCATGGTTCGCTCCAACCCAACCCAACCCCAGCAGTTCTCAGAGTTGGGCTCTTTTTTTCTTTCTTTTTTTTCCCTCTTTATTTTCTTCGTTTGGTGGTATACCTCACCTCCAGTGTTGACCGATAATTTGTCGGATCGAGACGGATTTGCCCAACTCGTAAACCGCCTTTGCAATATGGACGGGCCCTGGTCTTGACTGCCGACCACATGTATCACCCCCTCGGCGAATCATAGCATCATCATGGACAAACCTTTTGCCCCCCCCCGTTCTTGAAACATACCCGGTCCCTCTCCCAAAACACGGTTTTTAATCAAACCAAAGTGATAAGTTTCATGCCCCATCCCGTGGCAGTGATTCTTTTTCGGAAACCAGACAGTTCGGGTCTACATAACTACAATGATCGAGGACCTTCGCTTTGGTGGACATGGCCAGACAAATTCTCTTTTCCCTCATGTGTTGCCCCAGTGTGCTGCTCTATGCTTGCTTCGTCCATGTCTGAGAACTCTTGACGTTACGGGGCTCTTGTTCGTTCCATCGAATAACAACCCTCGGCGCTATTATGGCGAACTTCTTTTGCTCATCACCTTGTATGCGACTTCATGAGTCGTGTCAAGAGTACCCGTAACCTCTCTACTCATCTCACCCGTCAACTCTACTCATTGCACCGCGCAACCTCAATGTTCTTTATCTCGGCTCGCATTGCGTTCCTCACTGAACGAATTTTCCACCACGGTCCTTCAGTGCCCCAAGCACCGGTTACTCTATCAACATTTGTTTGTGTGTGCGAGTGTATCAAATAAATAACCCTGAGATGCCCGCCGCTGTAGCAACCATGCTGTGTATTTCCAGTGAACCGCTAAATGAGACTCTCGTACTTATCCAACCCGCTTTTCTGCTGTGGCCTCTGCTGCTGCTGAAGCCCGGCCATGCTGTTCATGCCCGTGTTACCGTTCATCATGGTGTTCATGCTCCCGCCAGATGCCATTCCCATGCTACCCATATTCATTCCAGGCCGCGAGCCCATGCTTCCCATGCTGCCTATGCTGCTCATACTGCCCATCGGCTGTTGACCCATCATACTCATGCTGCCGGCGTTGGTCGCAGGCTTGCTGAATGCACTCATGCTTGATTGCACTGGCGGTGTGTGACTGGGTGGAGGCGGCAGGCTAAAGCCGGATGATCCGGATAGGCCTGTCGGGTTGCTGGATGGCGGTGGTGGCAACGAAAACGACGATGACTGTGACAAGCCTGGCCGTTGCCCACCAAGCGACAGGTTGGACATGGGCGCGCTTATTCCACCAAAAGCGGAGCTCGGAGGTGGCGATATGGAGCTACCGGACGAAAAGGCCGGCGTAGGTGTTGAAGACGACGCCCATGGGTTGGAGGTTGCCGCCGACGCCGTTGACCAGTTGATTGTCGAGCTGGATTGTGCCGGCTGGGCCGGAGTCTCCTTAACCGGTTGCAAGGGCTTCGAGAACTGGGTCGATGTCGGGCTCATCGTTTGGAATGAGGCCAGATCAGGCGTTACTGTACGGAAACTAGGTTGAGGCTTGGCCGATGGAGGTGCTGCCTGAGTCGGAGAGGGACTCGACCACGAGAATGCCGGAGTTGTGGACCTACTTCCAGGCGCGGGCGAGGCAACTCTTGCAGAGGCAGGCATCTCTTCCCAGCTTGAGAAGGCATCTGACGTTGACGTCCGCGTCGTCTTGCCTTTGACTAAGCTTTCGAAGTCGTCTTCTGCACCTCCATTGTCAAACGTGGTTCCGCTGACGCCGCCGAACGCCATAAAATCTTCATTGGGCGCGGATGTGCTGCCGTTGGTGCCAGAAAGCTCTTGCAGCTTCTTGGACTGCTCGTCTTCCACTCTCTTGGACAGTTTTTTAATAAGGTCCATGAAGTCCTGAAACTGCTTCAAGTTGAGCAAAGGCCCAAGACTCATGTGCCAGAGAATTGGGAGGATGTCAATGGCGACAAATTCAGCGTCGGCAGCTTCGCCAACTACGCGTAGAACCCCGTGAGCTGCCATCATGACAGCAGGCTCTTTCGTCTTGATGGCCCTGATCAACGGGATGATTTTCTCCTGCATGGTGTATTTGTCCAGCATGCTTGAAGACGACGATGGTTTCTTCTTTGCAGCACCAAACGCATCAAGCCCATCATCTTGCCCGTCCGGTGTGCCACCGCACAAAACGACAAAGGCCTGGCAGCCTCGCACCTTGATGGCGAGACTGCTCGTTTTGCTAAAAACAGCTGCAATTACGGGAAAGAGCTCATTCTTTATAGTGCTAAAGTCGAGAACTGGCAGAATAGACGGCAGGCCTCGCAGAGCCGCATCGACCACTGCTGGAGTTGGCGCTTCGATTGCAGCGTAGACGACAGGCAGAATGTCTGAGAATATGTCAGCACCTTGTTTATACCGGGGGTTGGGCGTGTTTCATTTACCATCTGTAAACTCCTTGCCATTGCAGTTGCTACAAATGGTTGACATGTGTTCAAGCACCACCATCAACCCGGCATCTTTGGTAGGATCCCTCTCCGGAGGCTGGTCCTTCTTAGGAGGCGGGGCAAAGGTCGCTTTCAATGCTGGCCGTACTTTTTCAGCGAAGACACGTCTCGCAGACGGCAGCAAGTCGATGATGGTGAAGACGTTCTGCAGGATCAGTGCGATAAGGTCCTTGTCTTTCATCTCCTCGAGCAGTGCTGGCAGAAGTTTCTTCTCCATGACTGTCTTGGGGAACGAGGGCATAACTTTGACCAGACCCCGCATGAACTGAGTTTTCTCGTTTGGTGTTTTTGCAGGGAAAGCATCAAGGAATCGGATGGTGGAGACAAGTACGTTGTTGAAGTATTCACTTTCTTGGAACTCTTTGGCCGTGAGGCGTTGTGCTGGTCGACGAGTGATGAGCCTTGGTAGTACGTGCTGAACTAGCTCCTTCGGCAGAGGGCGAGACGATAGGAATCCGTTCGACGCAGACGGCACTGTTGAGGAAGAGGAGAACGTCCGCTTGTAAGTTGACAAGCTGCCATGTGACTCTATGGGCGAGCGGTGGGGTGAGTTGTAAAGAGCAACAGCCAAAAGACCTAACGAGAACATGTCGGCGAAGTTGGTAAAGTTGTTGTCAATGACAAAGTCAGGCGAAGTGTAGTCGAGATCAAGCTGCACAAACCGAGGCAGCCGAGGGTCTGGGTTGAGCACCTCCGACAAGCTGACAGGCTGGAAGGAAGTCGGCTTGTTAGAGCCCTCGGAAGGACCGCAGAAGGCCAAGCCACTGATTTTCCAGTCCGACTACCCCAGGTTAGCGATCATACAGGCTCTTATGAGCTGAGCTTGTTCGAAGGGACGGGCTGACCTTGGCATTCACAATGATGGCATCCGGCGTCAGATTTCCATGAACCAGACCAGCGTTCTCGTGCAAGAACTCGAGAGCTTTGCTAATTTGCAGCAACCCCTTCTGGATCTCGAGCTCGTCGATCTCCAGTTCACGCCGGCGGCGCACGCCGTCCGAGTCTTCAGTGACGTAGCGGCTCGACCGCCCGCCGACCCCACCACTCCGTTCTTGATCGTCCTTCTCCTGTAGCAGTGCTGCCAGCGAGCCTGTGACAGCCTCGGTTACGAATTGAAGCCCGCCGCCCCTCGTCTCCTCAACGGGTTCGACCAGCTCGAGGACGCTCGGGTGTCTCAGCTTCGCCAGGCTCGAAGCCTCCTTCTTCAGGCGTTCGATAACTTCTTCGGTAGCGCGCTTGAAGGCGGATGCGCTCGACCGGCCAAGGCTGCTACCATGCCCGTCGAGAGCCTTCTTATCAAAAACGAAAACGCTGTAGGGCTTCCCCGTCGACTTCTTCTTGCAATCGTAGATCTTCCATGGGCCGGCGGACGAGGTTTGAGTCGAGGAGATGGAGTAGTTGGCGGTGATGTTTGTCGAGGATATCGACTTGAGCGCCGAGGAGAACATGTTCGTTGTCGTTGGCGTCGTCGATGTAGCCTTTGTGTCTTATAGGGAGGGTCTTCGTCGTCAAGGCGGAGGAAGGGCAACTCGAGAGGACTCGATCGTCATGACGGCCACGCCAAGGGGGTAAAATATGAAGTTGCGACAAGTCGGGATTCTGCAGTCGGTTGCGCACGCTATGGGGGAGAATGGCAGGGCCTTTGTCTGTGAGATGGATGCAGACCAGGAGGGGCACGTCAGATGCGTGCTGACAAGACGTCAGGAAAGACGAGACAACCCTTTGGGGCTTCGTTGCTAACACGAGACTTGTGTCTCGCTGCACTCGGAAATAAAATAAGGGAGGTATAGGCAGGGCGCGCAGCGGCAGCGGATTGATTTGACGAGTTGGTTCGGAAGCAGATGTTCAGATGCGGGCGTTGCAGCCGCGCCAACTTCCACGTCGCTGATAGGCAAGAGAGTCTCAAGGTACAATCAGCACGATGCCCATCCCATGCAATTACGACACCCCTGCGTTTAAGGCTCGGCAAAACGAGTTGGGCACACCTTACCTGAGCTTGGGGGGTGCAGTACAGGGGGCAGTGGGCTGCCCTTGGAGGCTTAGACCAATCAGAGTTGTCGCTGACCTAAGCTCGCGCCCTCAGGACAGCTTTCATGCACCTCACCTTGCTGTACCTAACACAGCGGGACGGTTCCGGAGCCGGGACCCTGAACAGCACCTAGGCGACGAAGGAAAGCGACGGCTTACACGTCCCAAGGGTCCGATAACGCTCCGATTTCTGACTCTTTTGCTCAAATTGCGCCCTCCTCCGGCCGGAATACCACCCTCCCTCGTTCTTCTTGTCAAGCATTCGATTAGTCAATTAGATTCGCCGTTGATACCAATTGACGGATTTTCGTATTTGGCTCTTCGAAAGAGTCACCCGTCGTTTTCACCAAAGCAACTTTGCAACTTTTTCTGGTTATATAATAGAGTTTTGGGGATACTCACCTCCTTTCCGGATTTATACCCACAAACAACACACCGCTACCCGTCGCCATGATGCGGCGACTCTTCCCCCGCGCCGCCGGCGCCCTCAGAGCGGCTCCACGGTGCTCTCCCAGGTTGGCCACCAACTGGCAATCGGCGAGGCTCTACAGCATCAAGCCCGAGGCTGCCTCCGTGGCCAAGCCCCTCGGCCTCGATGCTTCAAAACTCACAATCGAGAAGACCAAGAACCCGGGAACTCTGGGCAACCCGGCAGAGCTCGTCTTCGGCCGCAAGTTCACAGGTCAGGTTTCCCAATCAGCTTCCCGCACAATTGCACACTGCTGACCTTTCCGCCACAGACCATATGCTTACCATCGAATGGAACCAAGAGCAGGGTTGGCTCGATCCCAAGATCGTCCCCTACCAGAACCTCTCTCTCGACCCTGCGACCTGCGTCTTCCACTACGCCTTTGAGTGCTTTGAGGGTATGAAGGCTTACAAAGACAAGAACAACAATGTCAGGCTCTTCCGCCCGGACAAGAACATGGCCCGCCTCAACAAATCGGCCGCGCGTATTGCCCTGCCCACCTTCGAGCCCACCGCTTTGATCGAGCTCATCTCCAAGTTCGTTCAGCTCGACAAACACTACATCCCCGACGAGCGCGGCTATTCCCTCTACCTCCGCCCGACCATGATCGGCACCCAAAAGACCCTTGGCGTTGGCCCTCCCGGTTCTGCCTTGCTCTACGTTATTGCCTCCCCCGTCGGCCCTTACTACCCAACTGGCTTCAAGGCCGTCTCTCTTGAGGCCACAGACTACGCTGTCCGTGCCTGGCCCGGCGGCGTCGGTGACAAGAAGCTCGGCGCAAACTACGCTCCCTGCATCGTGCCCCAGCTCGAGGCCGCTAGCCGTGGCCACCAGCAGAACCTTTGGCTCTTCGGCGAGGAGGAATACGTTACCGAGGTCGGCACCATGAACATGTTTGCCGCCATCAGGAACAAAGAGACTGGCCAGAAGGAGCTTGTCACTGCGCCCCTTGACGGCACCATCCTCGAGGGCGTCACACGCGACTCCGTTCTGTCCCTGGCCCGTGAGAAGCTCGTGCCCGAGGGATGGATGGTCTCTGAGCGCAAGTACACCATGAAGGAGCTCGATGAGGCTGCTTCGGAGGGTCGTCTCATTGAGGCATTTGGTACTGGCACCGCTGCCATTGTCAGCCCCATTCGCACCATCGCATGGAAGGGGAAGTCCATCAACTGCGGTCTCAGCGAGGCCGAGGAGTCTGGTGAGATTGCTCTGAGGATGAAGGGCTGGATGGATGCGAGACAGTATGGCGATGAAGAGCACGAGTGGAGTTATGTTGCTGCGTAAATTATCAATTGGCAGAGCGAGCGGCCTATAGATTTGTAGATATCCAAAAGGAAAGCGTGGGCTTTGAAATGGTCAAAAGCATTTAATTTTACACCCCCGACTAAAAGTATACAGGCTGCTGCGAAGTTTTCAACACTTCAGAGCACCTGTAAGGTGAATGATGGGTCGATCTGTAGCAACCGGTGACTCATGATCAGGGATTGATGAATCGGCGCATACTCTGTTCATATACAATCTTCTCATGAAAATAACACTTTCAGCATTGCAGCCCAAGAATCACTTGCGTACTGGAATTAAGAGTGTCCAAGTCGTCGCCACGTAGCTTCACGTCCCCGCCATGAGACATCATCAATACAAATCCAATCGATCATTCAAAGCGACCCGTGAAGATCAGATGAGTCTTCGTAGTGCAAGAAAAGTGTGCGGAAAAAAGAAAACTAGTTCAAAGGCAGGGTCATATACACTTTTCTGGAATAGAAGACATCGCCGCCGGATATCGAGGGCGAGCTCCCTTTCCTCCTGTCTTTCTCCTCTTGCTCTTCCCCTCTTTCACCGTATCAGAAGTGTCCATCCTCGCGGCTCGGTGTCTTTGTGTGTTCCGTTACCCCATCCCCTTTCTATAATCTCAAACCAGGCTCCGGATAAAAAGTGATTCGAGGTTGTCGCACAATTTCGTAGTAGGTTGCAGTTCTCCTTGTTCACTTCTCGGGATCCGGCAGGATACCCTCCTTTTCTAATCTCCGCCTGGCCTCCTCAAGGGCCCAGGTGTCAAGTCTACATTGCCAAGGCGGGTAACATTAGCCGCGGCTCTGCCCCAACATCAAAATTACCTCATGCCGAACTCAATTGGCATTGAAACATAGCTGCAAAAGCACCTTCAAAAGACGCAGAGGGCTGCAGACAGCGAGATACGTCTCCCAGGGAGCATAGAGGAAAAGGCCGGCACTTACGAAGTGTCAGGCTTGAAGGCAAGGACAACGCCGGTGGCGATGATGCCTCCGCAGAAGAGGGTGTAGAAGGGCGTTTCCCAACCTTCCTTCTCATACTTCTCGCCGGGCTTGACGCCCCAAAGCCAGCCGGTGGGGGGATCGAAGTCGGAGCCACCGCCAGCGCGGCGGGTCGTCACGGAGAAGGCCCTCGCAGAGGGAGCGGTGATCTTGATGGCGCGGGCGGCACGAATGGCCGCAGTCGGACGTATCGCCGTCATCTTTCGGTTCGGGTGAGGTGTCTTGTGTTTCGCGGTAGGAGGAGAATCAAGACGTCCCGATTGACGTAGATCCGGCGTTGAATAAGGTGAGAGGGTGAGGGGTGCGTTTCGCGGGCGCGCGATAATCGGAGTTTACGTCGTTGGCAGCACACGGGTGAGGTTGTTGGACTGGAGTTGGATTCTCGGATCGACGTTGGGATGGTTAGTCATCCGGAATCACGTGATCCCCATTGACTCCACTCCCATCTCATGAGACCTGAAAACTCGGTATGTTCTTACCTCTTTCTAACGTAAAGTATGGTGAATATAATAAATTGATAAAATCGATCTGTTGAGTCGATAGCACGTGTAACTTTGATTTGTAGTTGTGATATATCCTCATTTTTGAGATTAGGTTGCTACATGTATCTGTATCCTTGACTGGATTTCTGTCCCTCTCTGAAAGATTGAATGGCTCTGCTAGGGATCGTTCGCAACGTCGCCAAGTCCAGTATGTCACAAGATACTCAAGCGAGATGAAAGGGCAAAGGTTTATCCTCGATTTCCTGTATGCGCAAATGATCTCCTCAGTTGCGGCGCCAATGCCTATCAACATAACAGAATCCTGGCAGTATATCCTTCTGCCGCAATAAGCCAATGCCGTATACTCCAAGCCACTGCATACCTCAATAAGCCCCGTTTGTCATGTCGTTAAGTATGTCCCTGAGAATGACTTTATCCTTCATAAGTACCTTTTCTCCAATTCTTGCCCTCTTGGGCTGAGGTCGACGATTCTCTTTGTCAACACCCAATGCCAGCTTCGGGGTTTTGCGTGGACTGAACCCCTTTCGTGGGCTTGTGTTTCTCGCCTTGTTAGGGGAAACACCACTAGCTGTCATTTGCGTTGCTGTATCATCGAAGACATGACTGTCCAGGGCGTCGGGCGGCAGGTCGTAGATCCAATCACGTTCCTCCATAAGACCGATGAACTTGCTCAGCATTTCATCCTTCCCGCTGCCCTTCAAAGTGCTCTTGCTTCCCACAACAAGCAACTTCGTCTTGGCACGAGTGAAAGCGACATTGATGCGTCGCCAATCTTTCAGGAGCTCGCCGATGCTACAGCTCTCATTACTACGAACCAACGAAAGGATGACCACATCCTTGTCTCGTCCTTGAAACCGATCGGCAGTGTGCATTTCCACGCCTAAATGGCCACGAAGGCCATGCTTCAATAGTGATAGCTGAGAGCGGTAGTGCGTCATCACTCCGATTTCTCCGTCGGGCACCCCAACCGTAAGGAGACCCTCGACGAGTTGAACAACGATACGAGCCTCAGCCGGATTGACAATACGGTTGCCCTTGGCCTCCTCTCGGGTATGAGGCTGCAGAGTGTCGGTGTTGATGAACCGCACCCGAGCCTCGCTGTCTAGCAAGTCTCGCAGCCAGCAGCAGCTTTCTGTCATAGAAGTGCAGAACGACTTCGGTGTGCCTGACTTAAGCATGGACGAAGAGTCGTAATGGAGACTCTTTAGTGCATTCATGTTTGGCACATCAAGTTTCTTGAATCGCAGCTCCTCAGTGCCACATCGTAGTCGCCCGTGGTAGATGAGTGTGTTACTGAGAGTCATGACGTCTTCACACATACGGTACTGATGCTCCAGGTTGACGACGGAATCCGGGTGCGTGTCAGAGAGAAGCTTGAACAAGCTCACATCAAGACCACCTTCCCGAGCCTCTTCATTTTGAACCAGCGGGGGAAGCTGGTTATGGTCTCCAACGAGGACAAAAGTCTTGGCCATCCTGATCGGCCCCAGACAAATTGGCAATGTAATCTGGGACGCCTCGTCGACGATGCAGTAATCGAAAGTGCGTTCGTTGAAGAGCGCATGGCCGACACCGAGGCAAGTGGTTGCAACAATGGGTGTGTCGTGCCAAGCCTCCTTTATCTGTTCAAAGGACTTCATAGGCTGGCCTGCAAGAATTGCAAATTGCTGAACATCCGGATGGACTTTGGCGGGGGCCCCAAGACGTAGAATCGGTGTCTTGTCGTCTTTGAGCTTTAGAAGAATATTGTCGACTGCAGTGTGTGTGTACGACGTGAGTAGAACGCTTTTCCCCTGAGATACCAGAGCCCGAATGATATGAGCAATGGTAGTTGTTTTGCCCGTACCGGGCATACCAAGTACCAGCGCATAGTCCTCGGCACTCATCACTTTCTCAATAGCTCTGTGCTGGTCGACGTTTAAGCACTCTCGATCGGCAACGACGTACTGAGTAGGTGCTGCCTTGAATCTGGGAGGTACTAGGTCCACCACGGCGCGGCGAATCTCTCTAGAACCGAAGACGCCTTCGGCCATGGTCTGAACAAGGTTGTTGCGGACAGTAGCCATGCCATTGCTGAACTCGTCTTTGTCAAGTCGGTAGCGAATAGGTGCCTGTTTGATCTTGCCATGAGATTGGCCTGCGGCACATCCCTCTGGCACAACCTCCATGATACTAGCGAAGACTTGATTGTCAGTTTCATCAAAGCCAGGTTGCTTGATGCGTGCGTTGTGGAGGCGCCGGTCGACCGCTACGCTGATTCTCTGTTTGCGAACGGAGGTAACGTAGCCCAGGGCGAGGGCAAAATGCCCTTGCTCGTCTGATACAACCACGGGCTCTCCTACAGCAAGTTGAGACTCCAAAAAAGAGTGGTTCGGGTTTGGGACACGCTTGAGGAAAGTATAGCTGAAGCGGTTGATCTTTGAAGTTCCCAAGTCCTCGGACCAAGAGCCCTCTTCGATAATGACGTCGGAGAAGCATCTTCCCACCTTCTCCCTGGCCTGGCTAACCATGGTCCAGAGCTCCCTTTTGAGCTTTTGTGTCTCTTTCTCTTCCTTGGTCAAGAGATTTTCCCATTTGAGGAAGAATTCTTGGTGTTTTGGCGTAAGGTGTTTGACAATCTCGTCGAAGCCCTTGTCCATGCCGCTTGTCTCAGCATTGCCGTCGTCGGCGAGCTTGTGGTAGATGAAACACGATGTTTTCGCATAGCACTTTCCGCACATGTTCTTACTTCTCTTCATCGGTGGAAGCTGAACGCTGCGTTCTCTGATATGGCACGCCAACTGGTTCCGCTGCATGATCATGTGACGTAACTCGTGCCGAATCGTTGGGATACGCATAGTTTGCGACGTTTCCATGTAATAGAGGATACCGTAGACGATGTTAAGGTCGTATCGGTCAGAAAGAAGAAGGTTGTAGAGCGCCGTTTGTGCCATGTGGTTGCTGTTGGCGTGCTTGCCCGTCTTGACTTCGAATGGGACGGTCAGAGTTTTGACGTCTTTGCCGTCCCTCATTGTGACTTGCACAGTTGCATCAATGTTGCCCTTGAGCCCATACATTGGTGACCAGACATGTTCCTCAACGTCGAGTAGTTTGCTGACGCACATGTTGGCCTTTTTTCCATTGCGGTCATGAACGACAGCATCGAGCTTTTGTTTTCATTAGCGGCGAGAATAGGCAGGCGACAGAAGGGCTTGACATACATTCGGCTTAGAGGCTACAAATGCCGTAGCCCAGCAGCTCAACTCCGTCATCTTTGACTGAAGATGTTCCTTAGCAATGCTAGTGCTGACCTTGATCTTATACAAGTCTTCGATATGCTTCTCCATAACTTTGTCAATGACGCCGCTGAGGAACCGCAAATCCCATTGATTGGCCAAGAGAGCTTCTTGGAAAATTTCGTGGAGCATGGTTCCATATACCAAAGGTGCAGTCGCCTCGCTGGTCGCTTTGACGCGGTCCTGCAAAACTGCTCGACGCATACAACTGAATGAATCGGCTACGACCGTGGCCGATATTAGCTGATCTGGATGCAATATCAAAATGTTGTGTGAATCATCAATGATACATTGGCCGCTTGGTGAAAAGCTTCCAATAACATGTACGTATGCCTTAGCGTGTGCAGGCGTTTCGTACCAGTCGTCGCGGAGATGAATTTTCCTCATGGCCTTTGTGTTGTCGACTTGGACGATCAAGATCTGATTGCGTGTTAGCATTGATTCGGATTACCAGGTGAATCTGCTTACCTTCTCCACTCGTGACAGCCCGCGCTCATCCGCATAGTCATTTTCTAGGACATTGGTCACCAGATATCGCTGAATGGCTTTGGGTTTTTGGCTGTTCTACCTTATTCTTAGCATATGCTACCGTGGCAGCCGTTGGTTGGGACGTACAGCTGTTGTAGACGACTCGTGGGGTATTTGGGCCGATTGCGTCGCGGCGAGCTCTGCCGCGTCGAAGTCGAAGTCTCCGCCAAAGTCGTCTCCAAAGACATCCTCCAGGTCATCTTGCTGAGGGACGCTAACGGTTTCCGCAGCAGCATGTCTTGTGCTCGTTGGCGCCTGGGATGCGGCGCTCACTTTTGCGCTCTCCATAATAGTCTCCGCAGCTTCAACGATGTCGTCGTCCAAGTCGCCAAATTCGTCGTCCAAGTTGACATCATCTTGTTGAACAGCCTGTACAGGTTGAGCAGGAGGTGCAGGAGTAGGCGTGCTCTGCCTGGCATCTTGTTTCGGATTTGAAAGGCTAATACTGGCCTCAATCTCAAGAAACGTGTCGTCGTCGAACTCATCGAACTCGTCAAAGTCGACATCACCATAATCGGACTCGGCCGGGGCCATATTCCCTTTCAAGCCAATTCCTAAATCTTGTGCAACACTGGAGTCAAGGGTGTTGCCAGAATGAGGCAGCTTCATAACCCCAAGTGGCTTTCGTGAAGGCGAGAGGGTCGGTGGCCTCATTGTAGCCGTCTTTCTTTTTTTGAGAGATGGAGATTCGTCCTCACGGTCCACAGACGGCTCCGACTCCTGAGGCGGGCTGTTTTCGTGCATGCTACCTGTGACGGTATCTAGAAGCGCTGTTACGAGCGAATTCTTTGAGCTGTCGGTCGTCTCCCGGGTCAACGTGCTGGTCAAGGAGGGTGTATCCGAGCGGTCGACTCTTCTTCTCTTGGGCCAATTCAGACCACAACTTATGGCTCTCCGCAAGCCACTGTCACCCGCAGAGGGGTTTGCGTTTTTGGGATTCCGCGGAGATGAGGAAAACATCAAATTGGCGAGAGTCGGATTTGTGATACCTAGAGGTGTTACATTGCCATTGCTGGTGAGCGAGAAGCGATCCCAGAGCTCCAAGGTTGGGTCTGCGCGTGGCGACTTGAATGCTTCGCTAAGCTTCTTCACATTAACCGCCGGCGTGACAGGTTGCTCGTGGGGTGTAGGGGAAGACATGGGTGATGAGCTTCTAGCTCTCTTGCGGCCCTTCCGGGGCATCATGGGAGAGAGGGCGGCGGCGTAGCTCCGATTGCTCTTGTCTAGTTCGTTATTCCATAGAACCCGCTCGCTGGGCGATATCTGTGTGTCTTCTTGTTTGGGCGCGTTGGACTCCATCAGGTCGCGCCAGCTCAACTTCGTTGTCGGGGTGATGGCTATGTCATCTCGAGTCTGTCGGATGCCATCCTCGTTTCCGCTGCCATTTTCTTGGTCCGAGGCCTTAGCAGACTGAAACTGGAATTGATTCAGCTTGCTCTTTGTTTTGTCGGATACGGGGGCGAGAGGTCGTGATGTTTGGGCGTTAATTGGATTGCTTTTGGAGCGTTGCCACGAACGGTTCTGGAACAAAGTTAGCAAGTGTCTCGCGGAAGGGCCTGTTCTGTGGTGCACCTTTGACGGCAAGCCAACATGCTCCGAGTACGACTTCTTGAGAGGCATATCGGCAAGTCGGGCTCTTTAGTGAGCATAGAAAGTATCACGGATTATTGTGAAGATTTGATCAAGTCAGTGCAAGGGTCATGAAGGAAGTCGGGGGACCCCTCGACCAAGTGACGGCACTAAAGTGGTGGTCCTGGTCCCTCGACGCGCTCGGGACGCGCTTGCTCCACGCCTGTTTAATTCGCGTCGCTGCACGTTCCCGGGGTTATGTGGGGCACCTCAGAGGTACAAGCCCATGGCCCCTGCAACAAGTCCACACACCTCGGCGTCGCGACTTTGGATAAGCGTGTCTGATTCACTACCTGCGGAATGTCTTGCGTTAGTGGAGTGCGGAGTACGTGCATTGTGTGTCTGTACGGATACTTCCCAGAGGTAAGGCCACAATAGGTAGGTAGTGTTGTCGTGTTGTTCTGATGTTACGTACTTTACGTCAGCACATAGTACATTGATAGAGCACCGAAAGCTTGCATAGGAGAAACTCTCTGCCGAAGGCCCGGCATGCTCTGGTCCCGTTCTCCACTTTTCCAAACCAGTGGGCCCACCACAGCTTCAACCAACCTGAGAGCTTAGCCCGCGACTGCCTACGTCAGGACTCTGGAGAACACCACCAACGGATGAGCCACCTTTGGATGAAGCCATCAACCCAAATCAGCACCAACTTCGCTCAACAACCACGCTTCACGTGTTTGACTGGTTTGGTCTATCTGAACGCACATTGTACAACTGCCAGGTCGTCCGAGACCTGGCATCAATGTTGACAAGATGGCCTCAATGGATGATTCCAACTTTGACCAAGACGGATATACGTCTCCTGACTACCACATCCCACCCCCGGAGCTCACGCTTCTGCAGCGTCTTTTGTTTCGCCGTCCCGAGAGATATGTCGAGCACATGAGGAGGGTGCTCGCCGCCTCTGCCAAGGGCATGGGGCGCCACCCCACCCAGGAAGAGGTGAACATCCTCTGCCACCTTACCTACAAAGAGGCCCAGACCGTCGCCTGGGCAGTCCCAGCAAGTGCCATGCTGGCGGCTGCTCTGACATGGACAGGGCGTGGCACCTACCGCTTCCCGTTCTTCCAGCCCAAGTTCAAAAAGTTCAGCCCCGATGTGTTTCCCACCGCGATGGCGCCGCATCTGCAAGGCCGCCTCGCGAACCGGATGTGGCACATCACAAGGTTCTCCGCCTACTTCGTCTTCTCCAGTCTAGCCGTTTCCCCATTTATCGGCTCGTATGCGACCACAGTGGCCATTACGACCGCTCGACGCGATGAGCGTCTCAGCCAGTTTCGCAAGGATATGAAGCCCGAGAGGCTGGTCAAGAGCCATGCCGAAACGCTACCGCTAGCAACCCTCATCCGTCATCGAGAGATGACAGCTGCTCTGATAAGCCAGCTAGAGAAACATGTGGCCAGTTTCCCCGCTGAGGAGGAAATTGCCGCCCAGTCAGATCACCCTGACAAGACGGAATTTCCGGACCGGGCACTCCGCCTTGCCCTCATTGAAGGTCAACGCAAGATTGAGGAGCAGCGAAGGATTTTGGCTCATATCGATAAACTCATCGAGAAGAGGAGAGACAGCGGCGGCGATGACACATCCGCGCAGAACAAGGACTACGTGGCTCTCAGCGACTTGAGAACCGCCAGTGGCTATACTCTGCCTATGGAGCCCAATCGTGCTCCTCCCATGAGCTATTCGAGTGAGCCGCCATCTTCGGAAGGACGGCCTGGCTGGGGTTGGGGTCAGAAGGGCTCGTCCTCTCAGCAAGGCAGCAGCAGCAACAAGAACAACAACAGCAGCGCATTCGACGACCTGGAGATTGACGACGCATCGCCTCTCGCACCAACCCCCAGGTCCCAGTCATCGGTCCAATCTGGCTCAGCGTGGGATCGCGTTCGGCAGGCCTCGAAACAGCCGTTGCGAGCGTCTGGCGGTTACCAGGCCCAGCAGAGTGAGTCCGAGGCTTACTACACGTACGATGCAGTCGACAAGGACAAGGAAGCGGAAAAGGACAAGGCCCAAGCAGAATTCGATGCAATGATCGAAAGAGAGCGGAGGGGCGACACAGGGCGAGGCGGTGAGCGGAATAACCGCTGGTGATGTGTACTACTGCTGCTGCTGCTGCTATAAACCATTCTACTTGACTCGGGCTCTGAGAGCAGCCAATCTCAAACTGATCACTGCTGCACTTGTAAAAATCTCATCTACTTACGCTTTTCTTAACTCCGACCAATGTAAAACGTCGCTTGCTCTATGCTTCCTAAAACTCCCAGAACCATTTCATGATTTCCTCCCGTGACAGCAACTAGTACGCGTATCGGGTTTCTCTCATCCGTCCTCCTACGCTAGCCAGCGATGCCTTCCTCTTGGTGGACAACAACGTTCCACGGCCAAGCCTCCCACGAACATGTCGTTGTATGCGCAAGCCCCAGCTCATTACATAAAGTGCGTCGGCCGCCAAAAGCTCTTGTCCCACCGATGCCACACCGCCGTCTTGGGCGGCGTCTTGGCCCACCACTCCCGAAACTGCGGCGCGCCGACCTCGTCCCCGAACCGCTGCACTAGATCCGGCATGAACGTGCTCATCGATACGCCCGGGTCCAGCAGCCCGTCGCCGGTCTCGGCGAAGCTGAACTGCGAGGCCCTGGCCCTCCAACCCCTCTTCTCCGCCGCGGAGACCACCCCGGGGGCGACGACGTCCTCATGTTGCCCTTGCTGCCGCTCCGCGACGCCGGGCGCCGTCGAGAACTCCGCCACGGCGCCCGCGAGCCCGACATAGAACGACTCCGACACGTCCGACGCCTTGGCCAGCGAGAAGATGCGGCTCGTCGACGACCGCACGGCGTCACGGAACGGCATCACGTGGAACCGGCAGTTGGGCCGGTAGTAGTCCTTGCACGAGCGCTCGTGCCACACGCAGTCCCGGCCCCTCGCGTAGTCGCACCCAACGCCGCGCATGCTCAGCGGGCGACTGCTACTTCTTCGCAGGGGGTCAGGGAACGGCATGCCGGACCAGCACGGCAGCGCGGCCGAGTGGTAGTACGTCTTGCTCCAGCGGAAATCGAAGACTTTGAGGGCCTCGAGCTCGTTGCTACCCGCGACGAAGCGATCCGAGCCGTAAGCCAGCAGGGAAGAGTGCGTCTCGAAGGGCTGGTACATGTCTCGGTAAAGCACGTCGTAGGGTGACGGCGTGCGGACATCCAGAAGGCGGACGGTGCCGTCGTCCCAGGCGCTCAGAAGGAGGTCGGAGTGGCCCGCCGGGCCCGGGTTGACAGGGTGAATCGCGCGGACCGTCTGTTTCCTGTCCGGGTCGATGCCGCGGGAGGCCAGAAGTGACGGGTTCTTGGATGCAAGGGAAGGGGTGAAGCCCGAGGGGGTGACGGTGAGGTAACGGATTGGGTTGGCGTCGCCAGAGAGCGCGCAGACGATGGTATCGTTATTGAGCGCCTTGGTAGAGTGAACGAACTGCGTCGTGCCTCTCTGGCCAGGAACGTCGAATGTCTGCGAGTCCAGCGGGAGGGTGATCTTGCCCGTTCCTCCAGCGATGTTCAGAGGGAACAAGCTGACGGTGGCGCGGCTTCCGGCAACCAGAGACGACTGGTTGGGTAGTGTGTCTATTGATCCGATAGACGTCCACGTCGTCGCCTCAAGACCTCCCATGGGCGCCGGGATTCTGTAGGTCGCGAGGGCTCTGCCGGCGCTGCCCGGGGCCGCCGACACGAGCTGCAAGTCGCCGTTGGCCCTGCCGACAAGAAGACCTAGCTTCCCCTCCGGCTCGACGAGGCGGATGGCCGTGACGTCGCCCACTCCCGCACGGTAGCCCTTAGCCTTACCCTCCATGCGGAACCAGGCGTCGGATTCCCCACGCCCGCCGCTGTTGAGGGGCCTAAAGCGGCCGACGACATCCTCGCCCGCGCCCCACGACACGAGCTCCCAGGTGTTGTCGAAGACTAGGCGGGCGTCGATGACAGGATGGAAGGGACGCCCGGCGTTGGTGTAACCGGTGAAGTAGTTGCCATCCCGGCAGTGGTCATCCGTGTAGGCAATGGGCTGGAAGGCCTTTGTGTCCCAGGCCCGCGCCTGGCGGGTGAGTGTGTTTGCCAGGACATCCCATCTCGGGGCCTTGCCCAGCGGGAGGGACAGGAGGGGAAAGCAGGTCCTGACAAAGGTGCGCCAACCATCCTCGCTGAGGAGGAGATGGAGGTGCTTACACGACGAGGCGAGGTGGGCTACATCGCGGGCGGTTCTCAAGTGGGAGACAATCTCCAAGACAATGTCGTCTGGCAGTTGGTCAAACATTGTATGTTTTGGTTCTCTTGGTTCCAGAGTTTGTCCGAAACCTCTGTCTATCTTGTCTGGCGGTTGGTTTTTGTGACATGAAGAGTGATAACTGATAGAATGAGATGAAACCCAGGGTTGTGGGTTGTGGGGAGGGTATGTATGGTGGAGGAGGTCGGGATACTAATGGATGAGATGGAATGAGAAGGGGTCTTGGAAAAGTATTGTAGCTATTGTTGTGAAGTCCAGTGGGAAAGCTTGCTCTAGAATGAGTGTGTCTTTGAAGTACAGATAAAACCCCAGGCCTTCATGATCAAATTCCTAGTGTGGCGAAAAGCAGTTATTTAAAGAGCTGTAAGAAACGTGCGTGCGTGCAGTTGAAGGATGATTCAAAAGAGTCATTCATAATGACTGGGGACATGGCGCGCGGCAGCCTCTGCAGTCAGGATTGCAGGGATTGGTGGCCCGCCTATGACACAATGGGTTGCCTAACTAAGTATCCGTATATACCTAGATAAATGCACACCGAGACAAGCGCTCGGTATGCAAGTCAGAAGTTAGCCGACCGCCATGGCACTCATAGCCCCCGGTCCATGTTTCTGCATCTCTAGTGATGACCCCGCTGTTAGCGCAAAGTCGCAACAACTCTAAGATAACGCCAGTATGGCACCGGCGACATGAGCGATGAGGTCCTGATAACCACTCCGCATATCTCTGACGGACTAGAGCACTTCCTAGGTAATGATAAAGCAAGGGTGCAGCCTACATCCACCATCAAATTTGGTTCTCACTCTTGGAAGCATGCACCGTCTCGAGTCACCCGTCCCATCATCATCATCAAGCCACCGACCATATAAGTGTGAGAGTTGAGTCGAACAGCCTATACTATATCCAAACACTTACCTCCATTCGGAAGAATGGGGTCCAATCTCATACCCATCCTTATCGCGAGCGTCGCCGCCTGGCTGCTCTACCACTTCGTTGTCCACCCTCTCTTCCTCTCATCGCTGTCCAGGATTCCTGTCCCGCACTGGTCATGTCACATCTCTCCCCTCTGGGTCCTCTACTTAAGGAAGACGAATTGCCAAAACCGGACCCTCCATCAAGCGCACCGCAGACTTGGCCCAGTTCTGAGAATAGCCCCCAATGAGCTGAGCCTTGACGGTTACGATGCTCTCAAGACGGTGTACCAGGGGGGGTTCGAAAAGGATGAGTGGTACTCCATCTTCGATAACTATGGGTGAGTTCACAACCGACATAACATCGAAGCAACCTTATGGCTCCACGGCTGACGGCGCTACCGTAGCGTCCCTTGTATGTTCTCAACCCTCCCCTCCAAACCTCACTCCCTCCGCAAACGCATGGTCTCAAACGTCTATGCCAAATCCTTCATCCATGCCTCCGAGGCGGCCGGTGCCCAATCTCGCGTGATTCTCTTCGGCCGTCTCCTGCCCCTTCTCTCGGCCTCGGCGTCTGCTGAAACCCTGAGCTCCGACGGCATTGACGTCTTCTCCACCTTCCTCGCCACCGCGATGGACTTCATCACGGCCTACATCTTCGGCCTCCGCAACGCCACGGATTTCATCCGCGACAGGGCCTACAGGGACCATTGGCTCCAGCTCTACCTAGCCCGGGCGAGCCACGCCTTCTGGCCCCAGGAGCTGCCGCGGTTGACGGCGCTCTGCGCCAAGGTGTCCCGGGGCAGGTGGAAGCCGTACCCGTCATGGGTCGACGGTGCCAACGCCGAGATCGCCGCGTGGAATAAGAAGCTGTGCAAGGCGGCTGGTATTGCTGAAGAACAGGAAGAACAAGATCCTGCGGACGAACCCGTTGTGCTGCGCGCCCTGGAAGCCGGCATCGAGAAGGAGCGCCTCGCAAACGGCGAAGCGTCTCTCCTCTACCACACCACGATACTCCAAAAGGACCTCACCGTGGCTTCCGAAGTGATGGATCAAGCCCTTGCTGGCCAGGAAACCGCCGGCATTGCCTTGACATACCTCGCCTGGCACCTCTCCCAATCGCCCGCCCTCCAACTTTCCCTCCGTCGTGAACTGCTGACCCTCTCCCCGTCCCTCGCGATGCCTTCGGACGCCTCCCTCCCCGCACACCTCCCGGACCCAAAACAGGTTGACGCCCTGCCCCTTCTCCACGCCGTCCTCATGGAGACTCTCCGCCTTCATGCCCCGATCCCCGGTCCGGAGCCACGGCGGACTCCACACTCCCCGCCCTGCCGCCTCGGCGGGTTTCACGTCCCGGGCGGCGTCCGTGTCGCGGCGCTGGGCTACACGCTCCACCGCAACGCCCAAATTTTTCCGCACCCAGAGACCTGGGACCACACGCGCTGGATGGCGGACTCGGATATCGACGACGAGCGGCGCAGGGAGATGGCGCGGTACTTTTGGGCGTTTGGCAGCGGCGGCAGGATGTGTGTCGGCTCCAACTTTGCCATGAACGGTAAGCCCCAACAGAAAAAGAAAGAAAAAAAAGAAGAAAAATGGAAAACATTCCTACGAATGAAAAGCGCCGAGAAGTGACTTGCTGATGATCTGTTGACGTAGAGATGAAACTCATCGCTGCGGCGATTTGGACAAACTTCACAACCCACATCGTGGACGACACGGATATTGATCAGGACGACACTTACACGGCTAGACCAATAGCCGAGCGCCTGATTCTGAGGTTTGAACATGTATAGACATGGGCGGCCGAGATATGGTTGTCCACCACGCTGCTGGTAACAAGAGGACTCGGGTTGCCCTATTGCGCATCCATGACTTGGGCCGAACTGCAACATGCTCTCCCCTTTCAAATAGACTTTATTTATTCATCTTGAGCTTTTTACTTGTTTGTTTCATCCAGGATAGTGATCCACATGACCCAAGACTTGCTGTTGAGTCTGCGAGTGCCTATCTACTACTTACTGTCCTCTGTCAACTAATTAGTGCCCAAGCAAAACCAGACACACTCGCCACTGGGCATAGTGTGAAGCACTTCACATTACCCATGCCGTCCTGGCAGCCCTCGACATCGCTTCACTTCAGGTTATACAAACCCAACCCACCTTTTGGACATGTCGTCGCGGCGTGCAGGGGCCATAGGCCGATAGCGCACTCATTGCGATACGAAAAAAGCGGTCGCCGCAGGATTATACTTGGGTTAGCAATGCGGGAATTACCTTGAACAAAGTCGACAACATCACGCACCAGGCTATGTAAGATATCATCCACAAGCCGACGCGCAGGCGGGGCGGTACGCTGTCCTTCCATCGGAAAGAGACAACAACGCAGTATCAGATTGCTACCTATTAAACAAAAACGCTGTAGAGCCTTACGGCAATGTTAGGGAACGTGGAAATATACTTGATGACCCGAGACCCATCAAACCGAAGAAGCGAAACCATTTACGCAAAGATAGGATGCCTGTCTAGTGCTTTTCTCCGCTTCATGCGACTCTAGAGTCACTCACTTTCGTGCCGGGCAGGACCGCGGCAATTACGCTGCCTCGCCTCCCGTTTGCTTCACCTCAACAGGCTCGATGTCGTCCTTCTTTTCCGCCAAGGTCGCCTCGATTACAGGCTCACCAGCAGTGTTGGCAGCAAGGGTCTTGACCTCCTCCTTGGGCGCCTCGACCTTGGCATCGACGAATGCGGGGGCCTCAGCCTTGTCCTCTTCTGATTTCTCTTCAGACAGGTCCTCGGCGGTTTGGTCCGCCGCAGGAACCTCAGCCTTGGTCTCAAGCTCGACTGCATGGGGTTCCAGCGAGGCACTTTCAACCTTGGGGGCCGGCTCCTTGGTAGTTTCGGATTTTGATGACTCCTCGACTTCGAGAACCCCACTGTCACCAATACTCCAGCAAGTCCTAAGGGGAGAAAAGGACAGTGTAGGTCCAGACTTGGCCGCGGCGACGGGAACCGCGCTCTTCGCTACAGGGGCCCTACGCTGGGGGCCACAAGCACGTCCTTTCCTGGCATCAGAGAGCGGTGCCTTCTCCTTCTCTTGGACATCTGCAGCAGGCGGCTCATCCTTCTTGGGAGCTTGCGGGCCAATCTGTAGGCGCTTGTTGAGATCGGACAAGAAACCAGCTTGAAGGGCGGCAATTTTGCCTCCGGCAGGCCTAGCAGGAATAGCTGGCTTCGGCTTCGGTGCGGAATCCTGCTCCTTGGAATCGGCGCCGGACGGGAGAGTCTTGGTGGGGCGGGCGGGAACTTGAGGCTTAGGCTTCTCCGAGGCCGCGGGTTTTGACTTGTCGTCGCTGCTCAGGGTGTGTTTGGGCCTCGGGCGCTCGGGGATTGAAGGTGATTCCGCAGTAGCACTAGACTCGGAACCCTTCTTCTGGGGACGAGCTGGCACGTGGGGCTTATCGACAGGGGACTCCTCCGTTGGCTCGGGAGTATCCACAACAGCCTCGTGCATCAAACTTTCGGGAGTATCCTCCCAGACATCGCGACTCGGGAAGCGGTTCGAAATCCCCGGGCGGGTTTCCTGCTTGGGCTGTTGCAGGGCGATGGACACCGGCTTTTTCTCCTTGGTGTGGATGCCGCGGGCTTCCTGCTCTGCAAGCTCTTCTTGTTTGCGAGCGAACTCAAGGGCGGGGTTCTCGACGGGGTGTTCGGAACGGCGCCTAGACGAAGGACGTTCGGTTTCCGTAGGCTCAGGTGTTGAAACTTCGGCGGTGTAGTTCACGCTATCGGGAGCATCTTCCCAAACGTCCTTGCTCGGGAACTTATGGCGAGGCTTCCATGTGTTGGCCTCAGACTCGGGCTTCTTCACCTCCGTGCCGTCCTCATCGAACAGCGGCTCGTATTCTTCAACATCTTCCAGAGGAGTCGAGGTCGGCTCCGTCTGCGATTGGCTGCGGTAGATACTGGTAGGTCGACTTGTGGGCTTACTGGGGGCCTTCTCCATCTCGAAGGTACTGCCGGAGCGCTCTGGCGGGGGCTCGACGGCTGGCTGAAGGTCGTAAGGATGCACATCCTTTTCAAGCTCATCTTCGGCTAGGATGGGTGCGCTGTACTTGTTCTCATGGCCAGAGTCGTGGGAAATGAAGCTCCTGCGGCGGTTGTGGGACTCGTCGACGTGGATTGTGCCTTCATCGCTGCCGGGGGTGGCAGCACTCTCAGGCGAAAGCTCGGAGTGGGAACCTGGCCGGGGGCTCAGAGGAGACTTGATGCGCTGAAGCTCGGGAGAAGAAATGCGAGAGGTGTACTCCTCGGACGCCTGATACCCAACCTCCTCGCTAGGAGTACCGACATAGGCGGCGGAGGTGCCTATATTTGTTAGTCATTATCTTCGTCGAGGGTTTGCTCATGTCGACTTACCCATTCCGGAACCCCGGCTGTGGGTTTCCTTGACAATCCTGTTCAGATCCGTGCTGCTCAAGGCATAGTCGTTTTGGCGATCGTGCAGAGAAGGCTTGCAATCCTTTTTCAGGGAATCAGGGTGCTTCTCGTACCAGGCCCTCTCGAACTTGTCCTTGGGGGGCGCTGAGGTATGACCGTGGAGACCGTAGCTGCCGGGGGGCAACTCGTTGAAACCGCGCGAACTATGCTTACGAGAATGGTGACGAGGAGTCCCCGAACGGAAGCCATCGGCAGCGGCGGAGCCAGGAGCCGGGGACGGGGCCTGGACATCGCCAATATTGGGGTTCATGGGCACTCGCTGACCGATTTCAGGAATGCCATGCTCCTCGTCGCCGAAGGCACTCTCCGACCTTTGCGACATGGCACTAGAGCTTGCCTTCCTCCTGAGACTACTGGGCCTAGTGGTATCGTCGCTGCTGGGCCTGCCGATGCCATAGGAGGCCGCCCTGTCGGAATCGGTGCGGGTCACGGCCATAACCTTCTGCTTCGCACTCTGGGCGGGAACAGTAGGCTTGGGGGCATGGAGCTTGAGATCCTCAGCAGCGAAGCGGGTGTGCTCAGGCGAGGTAGGCGTTTTGGGCAAGCTTTCGCTAACGACGTCATATTCATTGCCTTCCTCACCAACAGAAGGCATCGAAACGCTGCCAGGACGGTGGAGGGGATCTTGTGAGGATAGGAAGCCATTGCTTGGAGACGAACGGGTGGCCTTGGGACTCTTGGAGAAGGGGCTCTCGTTCAAGGGCGAGGGCGCGAAACGATCGGGGTTCGGGGAAATGGAGCGGTCGAAACGCTTGATGGGACGAGGAGGGATCTTGGGGACGGACGAGGTATTCGTGTTCTCCTCCCTGTCCTGACTCCTAGAAGGCCGGGGAGGGATAACGGGAGATTGTACTGATGCAGCCGACATTTTGTGTTTGTGTGATTTGGTCGATGACGCGAGTAAGAACCGAGTAAATGTTGGCAAACAAGCTTAAGATGGACGTGAGATCGAAGGGTGGGTTATGGTCGGAGGATATAAGGTTTTTTGTTCTAGAAGAAACTGGAACCTGAAGAAAAGAAGAAATGTGCGGTTAGTTCACAGGTTCCTGGCGGTGTACCAAAAAGCAAGGAGCAAATTATGCCCCCTGGTTCGCGTCCTCGCGTGAGTCGTGTCTTTGCGCCCGCCCTGTTTTGGTGGACAGGGTCGGCAATTGAATGCAAGATAACAGACTGGAGTAATGATGGAGGACAAGGCAGTAAAGATCTGACAAGCTAGATAGGCAGGGGGGGAAGCAGGATCGTTGGGGGCAGCAGCTTTGGGTTTGGTTGCTCAATGGTGTCGATAAGGGGAAGAGGATGGCCCCCCAGCGATAAGACGGGGATGTCATGTCACGATCGAGTGCAGCAAAAGAGGCTTGCGCCGCGCCGCACCGCACAACGCGATGATGACGGCCTTCTCAACTCGAGCGCGTTTGCGCCAACCCTGGTGATGGCTGAGCGCAGCAGCCTTGGTAGGCAAATCCAAGTGGACTAGGCATGTCCTGCCCCAAGAGCTGCAGCAAGCGGGGAGTTGTGATGGTAAATGTGCTGACGTTGTATAGCAGAGCATTGGGTGACCGACCGCTTGGAGGTGGGAGGGGGAATATGCCAGGCGAGAAGCTCAGGGCGGCGGTGGGGTGTGTGGTGTGCAGGGCAGGAAAGAATATGACGACGCATTGAGGAGAGCCACTTACAGCTTCGGTTGCGTGTGTGTGTGTGTGTGAGAGAGAGAGAGAGAGAGAGAGAGAGAGTGAGGGAGGGAGAGAGATAAGGGATAAGAAATCGAGTTGTGGGGTGGGTGTCTGTCGTCTTGTTGAGCTGGTGTTATTGCAACACAGTGGAGGCGACGAGCAAGTGTATGCGGGTGAAGTGAATAGCTGGTAGACTGAGTAGACACATTGAACAGATATGACGAGCAAGTCAAGGGGGGATTGGCGAGCAGGAAAAGCCACCATGACCTCGAGCTTTTATATTCTGGGTTGACGAAACCAGCTGGCTTGGTGACGGTACTGTTGCCGCCATTGAGCCAGTCACGAGCGACGTATTCCCGGACACAGAAGCAGGGATGCTCGATGCCGGTACAGCGGAAATCAGAGGCAAGTGCCACCAGCAGTACCTCGCTGGGCCGTGGACCGTGGTAGGTTTTGGCTCGTTCAGACAAATTGCACTGGCAACGCAATGCGTCTTTGCTGCGGGAGGGAGAGAGGAGAGAGAGTGTATGTGGTGTGGCATGAGAGGGCGAGGGAGCTCTTGGTTGTCATTGCTGTTATACAGTAAGTCTCTTTGAGATTAGCACGGTCCGTGCTGGTATGTTTCTGGGACTCCACTGTACCCCGCCATTCGACCACTAGCGCATCATACAGTAGGTATACCTACCCCGTAGACTACCGTACCTAGCACTACGCGCTGGATCTGCTGCAGGAAGGAGCAGGCAAAACAGAGGGGGATGCAATACATGTACTCTTGCTGCCGACTATCGTGGTGATGTACATTTCTACGTACCCTCATTCTCCGACGTCAGGGGAAGCCCGCCCTTTGAACGATGCGGACAGCCCGCAAGGTTGTCTAGACTAACTTGTAGTAATTATGGATCAGTCACCCGACAAAGCAGCATTGCATTGCGTTGAACAAGCTGCAGCTAGCTGGTGTACACATACCTATCTGTATGAAGCTGAGTTGGCCATTGTGTTGACTCGAGTCTCGTCGTTTATGGGACAGCCACCTAACCTGTTCCGCCGTTCCTCAGCTCGTCTTCTCTCGTTGGCTCCCCGACCAGAATAGTCGACCAAATGAAAAAAAAAAAAAAAAAAAAAAAAAAACTCTCAACCGTCCGACCTCGCATCGATCGATCGAAGAAGAGTTATGCAAAGCAAGCAAGCAAGCCAGCCTGCCTGTCTGCAAAGGGGGCTCGATCAGGTTGGCAACAACGGCCCCTAGCACCGAGCACCAAGCACCAAGAAGCAAGAAGCAAGACGCAATGCCGAATGAACCAAATCCAACACAAACACAACACAACAGCCCAAAACACATCAGTCCGTTCTCCGGGATCCCGAGGCAAGTCGCTAGAAATAGAAGCAAAAGACGGGGAAGGAAAAAGGGGGAAACAAGACACAGCACAGCACAGCACAGCACAGCACAGGGCCTCTGTGGGTTCCTCGGCCATCAATCAGCTGTCAGCGGCTCGACCAGATCAAACTTGCTCTGCGTCCCATTTGCGTGCTCGCGTCAGCGTCGAAATCTAGAATCAGAAACGCGAAACCCATCCCGTCCTGCGTCAAGAATAGTCCAGCTGGGACGCCGGGGGTTCCTTTGCTTTCAACCGACGCCCACCAGCCACACCACATCCGGCCATTTCTCCTTGGTCTGTTCCTCAGTACTTGGCTTTGGCTGCTCCTCTGTCTGTCCCCTGGCATTGTTCATCCCTCGAAAGGATTCAAGAGGCCGTTCGAAGAACCGGCCACAATTCTTTTGTTTCTCTTCTTTTCTTTTTTGAAGTCTTCAACCAGGCTCGGCGGCGTGCAGCGGGCAAAAGGACAGCCAGTCAATCCACAGTGGGCAGGGACCACAACAGTACGTAGTAGACCGGGGGGAAGTGCTCCACAGGGGCGTTGTCTGGTCCAAGGTCGAGCCCGCCCACGCCCCAATCGAAACTGTCCACTGAGAAAAGTTCGAAAAGTCACCCGCTGACCACGACTACCAACCCCCCCAAACGTCCAGCTTCAGGCGGGGCCACGCCCAGGGCATAGGCGGCCCCGAGAGCAGGTACCACCTCGAGTCCCACAGGTACTTTTCCAGGAACCGGATGTGTGAACCGGGAAGACGTGGCCCAGCTAGGTACAGTACATCTACACCTCTATCTGTCTCTCTCTCTCTCTCTTTCTCCCTCTCCCGCCTTTTAGCCCAACGAGACCAACTTGCAAGTCTTACAGTGCGGCACAACCTGTGCGTCAGGAAGGTCTTCGACTCTTCCACCAACATACTAGGTACGGATACCTAGGTTACGCTCTACACTGCCGGCTACTACAGTACACTACACCAAGCAAAGCAAGTCAGCCCCACCGTCCAGACCACGGGATGCTGCAACCGCTGCATGGAAGAAGACACGGGCTCTCTGCAGCTGGCTAGGAGACGGCGTCTCGTCCGCTCAAATCTCAATACAACGCATCCAACACCTTAACAGCATATGCACGGAAGAGGGAGCCGTTCAGGACAACCCTGCCGACCTCCAACGACAACTTAGCATCGGTACATCGTGATTCGCAATCCCCTCGTCCAGTCGGCCATTTTCCCATGCCACTTGAGAGAGCATGCATCCGCACTCGTCCTTCACCGCAACAATCGGAAACATGATCCAGTTAATTCAATTTTCCCGCCTCCCGCGCTGGGACGTGCGGGCGCTTTTTCCTGGACCACCTGGACCATCGCTAGGATTCAGCCGGCACCGCCTCTCGGACTTCCATCTCTGGCAACCTGATTACACCTTGACGGGCGCCCGAGCGAGCGCGCCCGCGGGTACAAGAGAGCCATTTTGAGGAGGCATTTCAAGGAGGCATTTGCAACCGCCTGCTTCTCCTGCCGCTGTCACCGTACTACGTGTGTGTTAGCTATCCACACATCAAATACTTCTAGACACGATGGCCATGCCGTCCAACTTGCCCTAGAATCACAGATGACTCGGAATGAGAGAAATTCAAGTGGAGACCTCCCAGCTACGGACAACTGGACACGGAAGAGCCACCAGCAGCCCCAGCCTTTGACGATCGATCCACGGACGTCGTCCCTGGAAGGGCACCCGGCAAGCCGTCTTGCCTTTCGGATGATGATAGATGACAGATGTTCAGGCGGAGCCCGACGAGATGGGGAACTGAGCAGTGTACCTACACGTACTCCAGCTTTATATAGCAGGAACCCAATTTGATTCAAACAAGTTCAGACATGTCGAATTTTCCAGCAACTACATCGGAGCATCAGTAGAATTGGCCAGCCTTCTCTCACCCGCCCTTTCTTCATCTTGCAGGACCCTTGTGGGGAGGGGCGGCGGCGGCCGTTTGGAAAACGGGAAGCATCGTCACTGTCATGGACTGAAATGGTTGGTGGATCGGGGTCCAGAGGCTCCATTCAGTCTCTTCTCCAACACTCGTTCGCTGTGCGCCGCCGCCGCCGTCGTCAAGCGGGCCAGAGCTTTCTGGCCACACTCCTGCGTTGTTCCCACATTGTAGTGCTACACTACATGACGCCATTTCAATGTCAAGCGACCCAAGATGGCCACAGATGCCATGTTGCCAATTCCCGTTTGTCACGACTTCCCCCCCCCCCCCCCTCCCTCTGCTTGCTCTTTCTTCGAGATCTGGATGACGCCGCACCGTGTTGACGGCCCTGGACAACCACATTAGTGAGTTGAGCAGTATTTTAGTGTACGGAGTACTAGTAGTAGCATGTCAAGGTCTTCTCCCCCCGCGGAGGATGACGACGCATACGTCAACACCTAGTAATTCAAGATTCCGGCACTTGGCTCGATTTGCGAGTGTCGACAATATGAGGGGAAAGGGAAAGCCGGCCGTTGCCCCCAAATCTAGAGCCGCTTGGCTGGGGAACCGCATAGAAGTGGTCATTTGTTGCCACGCTTTTTATTCTTATTTTTGTTATTTCATGTTTTGGTGGCTTTTTTTGCTTGGTCACGAGCTTCATGGCGTGCATGATATCGTCGCATGGGGCTTTATATTGGCCCGGCTACGCGCTTTTGGCATCAAACTAAGCCGCGGAGCCGGCGACTGGGGCTTTCTGCCGGCTCCCCCTCCCCCGCTGTTGGCCAGCGTTGGTCTGTTCGCCTTCACCGTTCCCTAGACGAACGGGGGCCGGATCGAGCTACACCGACTTGAGATTGCTTGCGAGCATGCGACGGGATTCTCACGAGCTGGCAAGCTCTCACTAGGCCACCTTGAAGCCGGTTCCCTTCCAACGTTCGCGCAGGGCATAGAGCACGTTGTACTACGCATCAACAGACACAACGACTGAGCGCGAAACGACGCAGCCAGAGAGATGCTCCCAAACAGTAAATTCAGTACAATGAAGAAAGCCATCATAATTTCGGGAGCTTCTAGGAAACCAAAGCGCAACCGAAGTCGTACACACAAAGCCTGAGCTTGTTCCGGGACGCCAAGTTCCTTTCCGAATATGCCGGCCGTTGCATATCAAAAACACAGTTCGCGTCTGTCTCTTTTGGGACCTCTCATGCGCCATTGCGCCTCACACGCGGTCATGGCCACCATGAACTTTCGATACTCGCAATCGTATACACTCGTCCCCTCCCCTCCTGTCGCCCCCATGTTCTGCGTGCTTCGAAGCACTGGATATCATTCAATTTTGCCTATGCCGATTCAGCTGTCGATGCGGTTGCGGTTGCGGTTGTGGACGAGGGCTCGGGGGCTCCTTCGATCTGCGCTTCTTCGCCGCGACATTGCTGTTGACTCTTCTAGACAATCATCTGGGCAACGCCCTGACCACCAAGGGTCTTGCTGCCAACGAAGGCCTGGCCCTTGACGCCGGCGAGGAGGTAGCAAATGGCCGTCAGGGAGAGGAAGACGCCAGCGGCGATCAAGCTGCTGGTAGTAATGATGGTGCTGAGGAACTGGATGACGGCCATGCCGGCGTAGGCGCCGGCGCGCATGTAGTTGGTGGAAATCTTGCGGATGAAGCCATCAAAAGTAGACGAGGTAGGGCAGATTCGGAGCAACAGAGGGATCTCAATGAAGAGGATCACCAGCGCGGAGGCACTAAAGAAGGGGTTAAAGGATTAGCTTAAAGCAAAGGGTTGTCCTCCTTTAGTAAAAAAAAGCCGCTATGTCCCGAGTAGTAAGACGACGACAGGTTCTTTTACATCGGCACCCTGGCGTTTAACTTAAGTACACCTGACAATCCGTTAGGTCTTGGGGGCGGGGTACGAGGACTGATCACATGTTACCGTGAGCGCCTTCGCCTCTTACTCCTTAGTCTCAGGGTAAAATCGCGCGGCGTATATGACCCCGCTAAGCAGCTTTACAGTCAGGTGCCGTGTACCTCCCGCTTAGGCTTTTAACGTAACGTTGTATGGATACGACAGGTCGGGGAACAAGGTGAGGTAATTCACCGCTACCGTTATTGTAAGTGGGCGGCCGGGTTACTAG